AACAAAAACTATACCGAAACTTATCTTACCATCCAAATCAAATCACATTACATACGGAATAAACATTTAATCTTTTACCATTAAAATTATATTTATACGTTATTTAATTTTTTTACGTCTAAGTTGAATAGGATAATAGCCGAAGATATAAAGTAACTATAGTTTACAAGCTAAGGAACAAATCAGCATTGAAACTAAAAAATGCTGAAATATTATAATAAATTGAAGAAATACTGTGATAGAATACCTAGTTATACTAGATACTATTATAATATGAATTCATTTGTATTGAATATCGATTAAAATAAGATGGAACGTCAATTTGACAGACTCAAGTTTCGAATTAGAGACCAACTTTCATCAGCATAGTATATGTGCGCAAACTACTGCATAATGGTATGCTTATCTTTTCATTTTAAAAAATAACGTATTTGAATAATTTCGTAAAAAATTAGAATTACTCGATATTAAGCATATTGCTTTTCTATCATATATGCTTATATTCTACAATAGTGTTACCAAACATCGGGCAACATCATACGTATAATAGAGAAAGGGACAAACTATCCAGTGTCACTTTTCAAAGGAATAAGAAAAATAATAAAGATGAAATAATAACATGAAATCTTATATAAATATAATTTTATCTAAATAGATAAATGAATTAAGCAGTTTACAGTTATATATATTTAATGAGAGACAATATCTAGTTCTATGGTAGAAATGACTCTTAGACTCAAATAAGTAACACAGATAGAAAGTACTCAGTATAACAATTATATATGTACACTCAAAGTTAGTCGCTGCTAAAATCTTAACCTTGCATTTCGGGAAAATCTGACAAATGGCTCTTAGACTCAAATAAGTAACACAGATAGAAAGTACTCAGTATAACAATTATATATGTACACTCAAAGTTAGTCGCTGCTAAAATCTTAACCTTGCATTTCGGGAAAATCTGACAAATGGCTCTTAGACTCAAATAAGTAACACAGATAGAAAGTACTCAGTATAACAATTATATATGTACACTCAAAGTTAGTCGCTGCTAAAATCTTAACCTTGCATTTCGGGAAAATCTGACAAATGGCTCTTAGACTCAAATAAGTAACACAGATAGAAAGTACTCAGTATAACAATTATATATGTACACTCAAAGTTAGTCGCTGCTAAAATCTTAACCTTGCATTTCGGGAAAATCTGACAAATGGCTCTTAGACTCAAATAAGTAACACAGATAGAAAGTACTCAGTATAACAATTATATATGTACACTCAAAGTTAGTCGCTGCTAAAATCTTAACCTTGCATTTCGGGAAAATCTGACAAATGGCTCTTAGACTCAAATAAGTAACACAGATAGAAAGTACTCAGTATAACAATTATATATGTACACTCAAAGTTAGTCGCTGCTAAAATCTTAACCTTGCATTTCGGGAAAATCTGACAAATGGCTCTTAGACTCAAATAAGTAACACAGATAGAAAGTACTCAGTATAACAATTATATATGTACACTCAAAGTTAGTCGCTGCTAAAATCTTAACCTTGCATTTCGGGAAAATCTGACAAATGGCTCTTAGACTTGTTTTGATAATTAATTCTTCAATTATATTATAATTTATAACAAATTTCCTCAAACTATCTGTATGTCATTCAATTCCCGGCCACTACATTCAATGATGGACCATTTCCTTCAAATTTTGAAATACCTTATTCAATTTGTTGTATGGAGCCCGTGATATTCAACACTATGGAGCTCCTCCAGTTTGGTATCCAAGAAGAGATAAAAGCTAGCATGGGCTACTCTCAAAAATACTTGAAGCAATATATTCAAGTTTGCAACAAGGATCAATAGATTCAAATCTTGTTTATTGTACTTTAAAGGTACTTTTAAAAAAGAAACAATTAATGTAAAAGATTCAAATAATTTTTTATTATTATTTTATTAATTTTTTAAAATAAGGTTAATAAAAAGTGACACTGGATAGTTTGTCCCACACTCCGTATAATACAACTTTTTCGTAGTTCTTTATCGAATTTAAATAGAACTAAGTTTTTATTTTAAATAAAAGAGAAATAATTCTAATTTATAATCTCATTATTAATTTATTCTCATTTTAATATTTCATCGATTTTTTATTATCGATATTCAATACAAATGAATTCATATTATAATAGTATCTAGTATAACTAGGTATTCTATCACAGTATTTCTTCAATTTATTATAATATTTCAGCATTTTTTAGTTTCAATGCTGATTTGTTCCTTAGCTTGTAAACTATAGTTACTTTATATCTTCGGCTATTATCCTATTCAACTTAGACGTAAAAAAATTAAATAACGTATAAATATAATTTTAATGGTAAAAGATTAAATGTTTATTCCGTATGTAATGTGATTTGATTTGGATGGTAAGATAAGTTTCGGTATAGTTTTTGTTAATTGATTAAGAATTGTTGAATAAAATTCTGGAACTTCGTCAATTTCTTTGATTCCCTCTTCCTCGCAATACAACTCCATATCATTAACTTGTATTTAAAGGCTTCCATATACAAAACTATATATAATGTTTGAAAGTTAAATCCAATCTTTTTCTATTTCTAAAAAAAATTGAGACCTAAACACGAGATAGCTTTCAGAAAATTTTCAGGGACATTTTTAATCATTTTTTATTTATTGTAATATCTTTGTTATTAAATTTGAATTGTTTAATATTTGAATGTAAAGAATTGAATAGTAATAATTTTAGTTTTAATACATAGCTAATTGCTAAGCAAAATAATTAATTTATTGTAATTTTGACATGTAAACTAAATGGGAATTTAGCCGGCCAAATATATGTCACTTTTTGACTTCACCTCACTTCCACCATTTCGTCTTATGACAGTACAGTTTTATTTTTTTCTCGCTGTGAAACGTATTCGGTCTTTTTTTTAAAAATTAATTTTTTGTTAGAGATAAGAGCTAAAACTCGGTAAACAACTTCTTTATGTCTAGAAAATTCTATCTTGCCTTTTATTTTTTTCTCGCTGTGAAACGTATTCGGTCTTTTTTTTAAAAATTAATTTTTTGTTAGAGATAAGAGCTAAAACTCGGTAAACAACTTCTTTATGTCTAGAAAATTCTATCTTGCCTTTTATTTTTTTCTCGCTGTGAAACGTATTCGGTCTTTTTTTAAAAAATTAATTTTTTGTTAGAGATAAGAGCTAAAACTCGGTAAACAACTTCTTTATGTCTAGAAAATTCTATCTTGCCTTTTATTTTTTTCTCGCTGTGAAACGTATTCGGTCTTTTTTTTAAAAATTAATTTTTTGTTAGAGATAAGAGCTAAAACTCGGTAAACAACTTCTTTATGTCTAGAAAATTTAACATTCGTCTCCCATTTTTATATATTTGGTTTAGAATGTTCGAAAATGCGTAATATGGTCATTAATATTAATTGAAAAGAACCTTGAATTAATTCAATCTGATCTCACAAAATACTTTAAATTACAAACTTTGTAGTTTGAATAGATAATTAGTATTAAACTCAAATAACTAGTTTATTTTTGAATAAAAATTATTTGAATTTATTCAATTTTGTGAATTTTCCTTCAAAAATCAAGTTTAAATATCTTATTTGCCATATAATTATAAATACAATGAAACATATTCGAAATTGAAAAGAATGACTTTTTCTGTTCTTTCAATCATTCAATTTGAATTTTGCAATATTGGATTTCTCATTAAATAGCTATTAAAAACAACAAGCAATTTAACTTACATTCAAATTTATTTGTGTTATATTCAATCTTCTCAAAACTTATAATTTTCGGCTATAGCATGATTATATGCTATATAATATAATAAACCTATAATAGTATCATTCTTTCAATTATTTGAAGAGAAAACCGAAAAAATCTATTTTCGGTCTATAACAAGACATTTCAATTAAATCTTAATCATCTTTTCATATTAATTAAGCATATATACATATTTAAAATTTATTCTACGTTGAAATTGATAATATTCAATTCTTTAGTTTTGAAAATTCATGCATTCAAATGTCGTAGAATTTCAATCTTTATATACTCATTACTGTTCGATCGATAACAAGCTATATTGATAACTGAATCATCATTTGGTTATGTCACATTTTTGCACCAATTATATTCCTTCACTACATTAAAATGTATGCTGCCATTTTATTGCTTTATTGATTCCAATCAATTATTTCTCTTTTTAATCAATTCAGGAAAATTTCAAGTTGACAATAACAATTAATTAAGTGTTTTATTTCAAAATATATATATTCTGCTGGAAATATTTGGTGACAACCATTATTCTTATTAATATCTATCTACCAAATTAATTTTGTTTTATATAATCATCATAAATCAAAAGTTCATACCTGAAACACACAGAATTATTCAAATTATCATCATGTAAGCCAATTTCCATATAAAAAAACTATGAGCCAACTGAAATTTTCAAAATATTTAAATATTGAGATGATTATGTTCAGTATCACTTAATGAATATCATCACATATATGACATAACTATCATTAAAACAAATGTTTTATTTCGGAAATGATTACATCGTAAATCTTCAAAAATATTAAGGATTGCCATGCATTTTGATTCAAAATACTCAATCAAATGCATTCAACTTGCTAAACATATTTGTGTTTATCTGCAGAATTATAATTCGGTATCAAATTAAAGCTAATATTCAAACTTATTTTAAGATCGAAGTGTGAAATAAAGATTTACTTGTTTTTATTTTTAACCACAAACAAAACTTATTTTTAAAACTCCAGACACTAGAAAAATTATAAGAATATAAAATTCTTTGAATGATTTTTTTTATTTCTCTGAGATATAGCTCTATCACATTAAGATTTCTGTTCTCAAAACAATTTATCGGGTAAAGACAAATAATGTATTAAATAATAAATAAAAAAAAGAATGTTTATATTATATATAAATACATTAAAAAAACAAATTATTATTTCATCTAAATTAACAAATTAGGGTCAACTTTGAGCTGATAAGCATCATCAATCAATTTCTTAAATCCATGTCTTATTCCATTACTTTCCAACATCTCTACAACTTTACTAGATACAGTCACAGTTCCCTGGAGCGCGTACTGAGTCAAAGGCATCACTTCGCAAATTGCGGAACCCGAAATATCAATTGTTCCGAGTCTTTCTTCATTCATTCCGAAAATTGCGTTTCCGCACGTAACAACACACGTAGGAGTTATAGTTATTCCCTCGTATTCATTTGATACAATGCAAAGAGAGAAGTCAATCGCCAATGTCACAGCTTGTGCAACTAATTGGAAAGGCTGCAATCTCTTGTTGACACCGAAAATTATTGTTATCTGTCTCGCGGAAGATTTGATGATATCGAAATCGCCGAGGAGTCTTAGATGTTGGTCCAGCATCTCCATGATCATTTGGTTCGTCTCTATCATTGCGTCATCATCATTTTCCGTAACAGCGTAAACGGAACAACTCAAAACAGCAACGAAATCTATCTCGTGACAACCATTTCTCCAGTTTGCGAATCTCTTCGGCCCGATGTCGCATCTGTAGCTGATGATTGTCTCTTTCAGTTGCTCCAGTTCGTGGGTCACTTTGCGCTCTTCAAGTTGCTCCATCAGCATCACGATTTTGTAGAAAGGATTGACATCGGCGATTTTCATTTTTTCGTTGATTTGAGGGAAAAATTCGTCGATGTTCATGCCGATGAAGGAGGCTTCCGGTTTCTCGAAGAAGGCGCACCAACTGGAATTGACTGTGATGATCAGATTGTCTGTTGTGATCAACGCAATCGGGGAAGAAATTGTATCAATGATAAATTGAGCGGAAGTCTTGTATTTGGACTGCTTGAGAGTTCTTATTGCGGTGTTTGTGCTGAATTCTACAACAATCTTCATGAGTTCTTTGATTTCGCTGGTCAATTCCATAAAATCAAGTACTTTTATGAAGAAAATCCAGAAAAGACACAAGACTGATAAATAGAAGATCTCTCCAATCTGTGCGTGCATGACTAAATACCTTGTTGATGTCTCTTGTCGCTCAATATTATTTTCTCGACTGATATTGAGAATTGTAGGCAAAGTTAGGTCTTCAAAGATATGCCTGAGCATTTCATTGGTTGTATTAGAGGTATACAACGCTTCATCTGATGAATATTGGATTAATGCAAGCTCTAATAACGAAACTTGCAATTCTGTCCTTGTTGTGCGGATATTATCAGAAGAACCAGTTTCTCCGAAGAATTCTAATGTCCTTTTCACATATTGAGTCAGATTTTCTTGGGTTAAGTAACTTGTATAATTTGTGTAGTTGTAAAGTTGAAAAGAATTTATGGCATTGAATGAGTAAAAAATTGATCGCGTATCGGAGATTGTGTTGTTAACCAGATCGTAGAAAGCGTTCTTCGAAGCCTTATATAATTGGTTCTCTACGAAAAATGAACCAATTATTAGGGCGATAATGATAATAACGTAAATTGCGATCGAAAACAGGTATTTTGATGGCGTCTTGAAGTATTTCCTGAGATATGCAACAAGGAGGTTTGATTTCGAGGTATCATCTGAGAAGATTTGGAAAATATGTCGAGTCCACATGATATGAACGAGCAAATAGACAATGACTAAGAACATCGTGATAAAGAACGGTATATATATCGAAAGAACCCTCTGTTTGGCTACTTTTTCATGACATGTTAAGTATTCATTACTTAATTCTGTTGTTACAGTAGCTTTTCCTTGAGCAATCTGGTATGCAAGTACAGAGAATGTGTTCACAATATACTTGATCCATTTATCGTCTACTTTTGCTCCATCTGCTTCTGGAAATATTGTTAGGATGATATTATAGATTTTATCGATGAATATATGGAATGGCATCGATACCCTGTAGTTGTTATCAAAAACTGGAGCGTCGATCATGAAAGTCGACGATGAGAAATAATCGTTCAAACAACTATCAGTTTGGAATGGCTCTGATAATACCATATACGCGTATTGGCCGCGAACATGATGGAATTCTTCCGAGATGTTACAAATGCACTCTGACTCCGAATTCGGGAATAATCCCATGGAAACAGGAATTACGGTCGTCATCTTCAGGAAGAAGTAAGAAGTGAACTCTATATAAGCTTGCTGGAGATAAGTGAAGACGTCGTTTTCCTCCATTTGCTTTTTCGCCGTTATAAAATTAGCAATGTAGATAATTACGACACAGATACCAGCAATGAACATAAGTACATAAGCTATGTAATATCTGGAGTTGTATGGTTTGTATTTGTGAGTCAAATGGTGAGATTTCTTTTGTTGATCTTCTCCGACAGCGGCAGACTCTTCTTCGCTGAAGGATTTGAGCTCGCATTCGTTTTGTTGGACAATATTGCGCTGGGCATGTGGGAAAAGAGTGAGAGGAATCGTAAATAAAATGTCACAATAATTCGTTGGATCGTTTTCTAACTGGGCAATGTTCTTTTTGAGTAGATCAACATTAGACTTGTCCTTGGTGACGAATGTTTCGTAGAGAGCGCAAAGCTTGAGGACTTGGATATTGTTCGGAAATCTCGCTTTTATTTCATTCACAAACGAATAGATCAGAGACCTCGTGTGATGTAAGGATTGGATCAGATAAAAGTTGGTCATTAGCTTATTTGTCACATTTTTGGCGTAAAGAAGCTCTATTTGTGAAAATGAGGAGATCTTCTGGGTTATATTGATGATTGCTTCTTGGTATTCTGCTTTAAGCTCTGAAACAGACCTCATATCATTTATCAAATCATATTCATAGATAACGAAGGCATCCGGACGCAAATGAGGATAGTTTCTGAAGTTAGCATCAAGGAATGACATGTATAATGGTGGATTTTTGAATAAAGTGGCAAATCTGATCATTAATGGCTCCAAATCTTGAATATTGAACTTTTGGATGGCCCAATCGAGAAGTTGGCCATTGATGGCTGATGCGATGCCAGAAGAAAAGCCAGATCTGAAATAATGAACAAGATGCCAGACGGATCTAATTCGGAGCTTATCAAAATCATTATCGCACTCTTGGAGTTTGTTCGCTAAACGCTTTGACACCAAAGAAAGTATCCAACGTATAAAATAATAAACAATAATCCAAATCACCAAAAGTGAATAAATATAAAGATCTGGGCTCGAATTTTTATCAGCGCTGTGAAGGATACTGAAAATTCCAGCAACTATGAACGTAAATCCGTAAGATGCGACATAAGCGTTTGCACTGTTATGAATGTAGCTGGAACAGAATCCTTTGGTCATGAAATACAAGCCGTATGCGATGTACAAAGCTGAAAATGCGCCAAAGTATAGTTTCGCCGGATTAATTTTGATTCCAAATGTTACAAGGAAAATGATAATTAATAAAGAGTTCGAGAATGTTGCTGGCGATGATAACGAGGCTCCAGATCCAGCCAAATAAAATTGAGAATTGAAGACTGTTTCGTGATTTAAATTATTTATGTAAACATTAAGAGCAATGACTATAATCTGAGCAACGAATTGAATCATGTAGTAGGAGTAGCCACCGAGGATGATCTGAGCGAATAAGTTTGCTGTTTGAGAAACTAAAATTAATAAAGAAAAGTCTGTTATTTCAACAGAGAATATGTAAACTGCAAGCATTAGAGGTCGGCTGAGTGAAAAATGCTTTTTCGCTGAATACAATCCAAATAAAAAGAAAAATAAACAATAGATCGAAAGACAAGTAATTATTACACAGAGCAAGAGGTTTGGCTCATCTTGTGGTTGTTGGAAAAAGAAGCAAATCAATTTTTGATAAAGAGTCGAGATTCCAACGTTTTTTGCACTGACAATGCTGAGTAAAGAAACAATGTAGACTTGCTCGAAGAATCTTAATACAGAGAAGAATTTTTCTATGTAATAATATGAAGATGCTAGGCGTAAAGTCGCTTGAGCATTTCTAAATAATAATTCTTCTTTTTCTGTGAGATGCTTCGGCTTTATAAACTGAATTTCCGCGAATTGCTTATTTAGAATATCTCCTTGGAGGATGCCCTCATTTTCCGAGGAATCCTCCATGAAATCAAAAATTCTTCTAAAAAAAATTTTTTTTCTCACCAAGAAAATTTTGTGAAAGATTTTTGAATTAGATAAAATTCGTTTAAACCATTGAGCCATCTATTTCTATTTTATTCAGGTACAGATTTTTGAAAGGATATTCAAAATGTTTTTAAATTTGAGAGAATTTATACAGGCGCATGAAACATTCAAGCTTTCAAAGGATTCCTTTATTTATTTATCAAAACTAAGGAGCATTTGACCTAATAAGCAAATAATGATAATACTACTTCGGAATTTGAAATAACCTTCCTGTTTCATGTTTATTTTTCCTCTATAATCAAAAGAATTGAATGAATCATATTAGCACTTTTATCCTAATAAGGTAAATAAATGGATATTGTGTTTAATGAATATTTTAATTACATTCAAATTTTTATCCTAAAATATTCATTAAATATTCATTAAACACTATTGTTATAATTTTTGCAAGTTATTCTTTCAATTAATAAGCATAATTGCATCTATTTACTGAAAAATAATTCAGATTACCTTCGAAAGATAATAATCCGCGGGAGTAACTGCTACATTCGGAAAGATCCATATTATAACGACTATTATTCCTATCCAAACTGTCTATCTTCCTGTGGGCTAATTTTATCTCTTAGAGATCTGGACCATAGTTATTAATATATTTACATGTCACAACAAACATAACATTCTTTCGATATAGTTCGAAGAACTACTTGAAGTTATACTTCAATTGAAGATTATATCATATGTAATATAGACAGTATTTCTTATTTATATATTCTTTAGATCTTTGTAAGATTGATTTTGTGAAACAAGTGATTATTTATTATATATTTTACTGAGAATAAGCAAAGTTAAAGCAAGGAATACAATATGCATAGTCTGCCTGATAAAATAGGGCTTCTGTATATTGAACCGAACAGTTTAGCTGATAAATATAATTAAAGATAGTATTGTTTGACATTGACATTGTGTTTGGGGCTCTATTTTCATTCACTTTCATCGGATTAATGTAGCAATCAATAACATCCATTGTAGCACTTTGTCGTATTAATGTGTTACAGTTTTCATTATTATCAACAATACAGCAGTGAATAACATTCATATGTGTGTTATTAAAGGCATAAATCAATCCATGCAATGGGGATGTTGATTTTTGTGAATTGTTAACAACATTAGAATAACGAAAATCTCCATAACTTCGTAATAGCCGATCGGTCTGCATAATTCGTATGATAATTCAAAAATTTTACATCAGAAACTAGCGCTTCACGATTTACAGTAGCTGCATCAGAATATGCTTTGGAATTTGAGATGTTTATAGAGTCAAAATTTTGGTGAGATGTTCCATACATTTGAAATTGACCCAACCCAGTAATTGTATTACCACAATCAACTATTGTTGACTCTGAAGCTTTAAAGAATGAATTATTATTTTCGGAAAATAATCTACAAAAATGTGAATATTTTGGATCTTCATATTTTGAACTGGTTGAGCATTTTTGACCACATGCTCTAATTATGGTTGCGGCACTATTTCCCTCATAATGAATAGCGCCAGACAAGGTTTTGCTAGTGCATTCGTGGAAAAAGGAGTCTTTGACACATAATATAGAATCATGTTTTGAAAGTCTAATGCTGCATCCATCGATGTCAATAAACTTTGATGAATAGTGAGCAAACTCATCGATTGAAACATTGATCCTTAAATCGTTAAAGGTGCTATTCCCAAAGCTAATAGACATTTTCTAGCATTAAATATAGCAATTATAACTCTTGTTGATTCGAGGTTCATATTATTAAACCTCTTACGTAAATAATGTCACTTTTCAATTTTTCTGTGATATTCAATATTTTCTAACAGATTCGTTTTTTATACATATTCTATTTTTACTCGAAAAAGTATTAGATAATGACACTGATAATATGATATATAAACGGGAGATTTTCATAATTCAATTTTTGAATACACATTTACTGTTTTTTGAATAAGCATACAAAACTTCATTTATATCAAATGAATTATACATATTTTCTCAGACTTTTCAGAGAATTGAGCGGGAGCTCAATTCTCTGAAATAGTCTGTGAAAATTTGTTATCTCTGCATTATTTCAATATAAGCTCCATTTTTAAATAGATTTTAAAAATCGAGTATTGAAAAAGTATGCAAAGATATAATTATTTTAATCACTCAACTTTTTCTGATGAAAAATAAGAAAGCTTATCAAATATTCTGATGTCTTTCTCCAGATTCATTGTTCTCGAGGTTACTCATAGCATATGATTATATACAATCTAATTCCCATTTATCATTAACCAAATTATCAAAACTTGCCAGACTTAAAATTTCGAAATATCGAATGTGCATCGAACATTAAAAAACAAAGTTCTTCGATATAGTTTAAAAGAAATCCATATGTATTTCTTGTATGTCCTGAAATTTTTAATATTTTTTATTCAAAATTATCCACATTTGTCATCACAGGTATTCAAACCGTATTCTGGACCAAAACGAGGTGAAAGGCATTGGAGAAGATGTGGTGTATCATTAAAAATTAGTTCAGGCCAATGTTCAAATTCCATTATTATTCTCACAGGAAAGCCATTTCATTACTCAAAGTTGAGTTTCTTTGATTGTTCTATGATTAAGTTATCTACATTCCTTAATGATTGAGAAACAGGTAAACAAAGTGATAGTTTTGAAATTATATATGAAGTTAACTCAAATTACATATATATCAAGAATAATATAATTTATTCAAAATTTTCTATTACCATTCCCATTGTCACAATGATTTTTTTATAAAATTCCAAATCTATAATCTATAATTTTTGATCGAGTTTTTTAAAAAATAGCATAATTGAATGACGAATACAAGTCAATACATATCAATTTGAAATGTAATAGCTAAGGAGTTTATGCTATTTACTTGAAACTGCTTTCAATTAATAAAAAATAAAGCCAAAACTTATTGAGCTATCGCTGAAATCGCTCTACTTCTAGTTGGTCTTTTTCTTTTTTGTATTTGGATATGATTCAGGGATAATCATTGTGAGATCCAGACAGAGTAACGGTTTTCATATTTTTACATAATAAACGTACACAAAATCTCATGTGCACAAGAATCCCTGCCAGAGATTATTCTATTCTTACTCCTAGACAATTGGCTACTGTTAGAAAGATTGCTCTTGGAAGAGCTGATAATGAGGAAGAAGAATTAAAGAGACAGAGAGAATTAGCACATCAGAAAACAAAAGAACTTGTATCTAACTGGAATAATACAATTGCTTCTAGTAGAAGAGATAGACTAGCAAGATTACAAAAAGAAAAAGAACGCGAGGAAGAAAGAAAAAGAGAAATCGATGAACAAGATGCAAAATATCGTAAATTACAAAAGGAAGCGCAACTTGCTGCTGCTAAGAAACTAGCATTTCAGAATTCTCCAGAAGTCAGAGCAGTTAATTCCCAATTATTACTCGCCGAATGCTTGGAAGAGCGGCATGAACAAAGACTTCTTAAGGAAAAGAAGAAGATCATGGAAATGCATCGTCAGACAAAGGAGGATATGGAAGCTCAAAAGAGATACGAGCAAATGATTGAAAATGAGCAAAGAATTCGTGCAGAAAGAAAGAGGAAAGCACAACTCAATGCTCAAAGTATTATACAACAGCGTGAGGATCGTATTCGCAGGAAAGAAATTGAACGTGAAGAAAATCTTGAAGATGATCGAATATTACGCATAGAAAATGAACGCATTGCCCGCGAAGAAAAGCTCAAGGAGGAAGAAGCAAAGAAGAAACAGAGATTAATAGCCGAAGAATGGAAGAATCAAAACGGTGCACTCCAGGAAATCAAGAAACGCAAGAAACTCATCGAACTGGAGGAAGATAAAAAGATTCTTGCAGAAGCAGAGCGACGCATGGATGAAGAAGATCGTAGGAAGAAAGAAGAGGAAGAGAAACGACTTCAGGCAACTAGAGAGCGTCAGAAACTCATTGACATGGAAGCTGAACGCCAGATGAAGATAAAGAAGAAACAAAATGACTTTCTTGATAAGCAAATTGATGAACAGCTCAAGAAAGAAGAAGCTTCCATCCGGAGCATCACAGAAAAGAGAGAAAAATTGGCTGCAGAGAGAAGAAAGGAAATGCTTGATGCCGTCAGGATTCAAAATCAAAAGAGAGAAAGGAAGGCTGAAAAGAGGAAAATTTATCCTGATTTTGATGAAGCTGAGGAGCAGTTAATTATAAAGCGTATTGAACAAAAGAGGAATCGTGGCATAGAAGTCGCAGAATTCCAGAAGAAACAAGCAGCAGAGAAAAGAGAAAGAGAAGCTGCTCTTAGAGAAAGAGAGAAACTCGAATATAACGAAGAAATCAGAAAAGTTGAAGTTGATATGGAAATCGCCAGGCAATATGCTAAGAAACTTATTGAAAAAGAAAAAGAGATTAATCCAGATGATGAATAATTTATGTTTAATAAAATTTTTGTTATGTTTTCCTAGTTGACCCTATATTTTTCACACCTGAGAGTACAATGAATTTATCTAAATATACTTGAAACGAGCATAACAATTTCAATAAGAAAGACAGTCAACTTAGGGATCACAAGATGTATTAGTATATATATGATATTATAATTTAGCTTTTGAATACAGAATTTAGTAGGGAGAGATACAAAATCATTAATAATTAAAATAAATTAATGGCGTGCGCAAGTAATATGCAGTCATCCATAAACGTATTCAGAAAGACATTATTTCTGAATATGAACAGAAATTATTGAGTACATAATTTTCTCTTCCACCGATATAATAAAAATTTGTAAATTAGGATTGAACATGAAATACTTTACTCAGCGTTGAACTTAGCGACGGCCTTGCCACCTTCTGAAACGGCGTGCTTAGCAAGATCGCCTGGAAGAACAAGACGAACAGCTGTCTGAACTTCGCGGGAACCGAGTGTGTTACGCTCGTTCATATCGACAAGGCGGGCGCCTTCCTGAGCAATACGCTCGAAGATATCTGTAACGAAGGAGTTCATGACCATCATAGCCTTGTTGGAGATACCGATATCTGGGTGGACCTGCTTAAGAACCTTGAAGATGTAGGATGAGAATGTTTCAGCACGCTTCTTGTGGCGGAGCTTCTTATCTTGCTTGGCAGCGTTAGCGGCATCAACTCCTTCGACGGCTGGCTTCTTCTCTGTTGGTGTCTTAGATGCTGGCTTCTTGGATGACATCTTAAACTAATGAACTCAAACAGTTCCCGCCAAGAATTGAGAGGAATCTGGCGCCAAATCGGCATGCCATAATAAGTCCCCAAAAATTGAATTACTTTTTGGCGGGAATTTCTCTCAAAATCATGAACTTTTGGCGGGAAAAAAATTCACTTCATTAGTTTCTAATGCCAGCTAAGAAAGGTGTTAAGAAGACAGCAACAAAGACAGCCGTCGATGGCGAACGCCAGCATCCAAAGACACGTTCATCCCGTGCCGGTCTTCAGTTCCCTGTCGGCCGTCTTCACAGATTCCTTCGTGAAGGCCGTTATGGTGAGCGTGTCGGTGCAGGTGCTCCAGTCTTCATGGCCGCTGTTCTTGAGTATCTTACTGTCGAAGTTCTCGAACTTGCCGGTAACGCTGCTCGTGATAACAAGAAGACACGTATTTCCCCACGTCACATCATGCTTGCCGTTCGTAACGATGAAGAATTGAACCAACTCCTCTCCAACATTACAATCGCCTCTGCAGGTGTCGTCCCACACATCCACAAGGTCCTCCTTGGCAATCCAAAGAAGGGCAAGGATGCTTCTCAGACACAGGAGTAAATTATTTATGCTATTGTGGTTTCAAAGTAATTTGATTTTTTTTTTTTAAAATTGAATAAGATCAGTTGAAATGATATATGTTTTATATGTTCAAGGAAGCATTCAAGGCTGCAATCGAGATATAATATATTGAATAAGTGGAATTGAGCTAAATGAAGAATTTAAGATAAAATATATTGAATAATCAGAAAATTACTACTTAGAGATAAAATAATGACGAATTTTTAATCTAATAAGGTAAGCAGTTTTTTCGATGGAACAATGCAAGAAATAAAAGAATTTGTTGGAAACAAAAAGCATATTTTCTAATCATCAACTAATCAATAAAAATGATAATGTGAATCGGTCATAGTGTAATGGTTATCATGTAAGATTGTCGTTCTTTTGATCCGGGTTCGATTCCCGGTGACCGAGCTTTTTTAATTTTTTTAAACATATTACATCAATCATAATAACTTTTAGTAAAAATGACTAAAAGATATTAAACAAAAGGATGAATACGAAAAATATAATGAATTTTTATTAAAACAATATCTGACAAGCGAATTAAAACATCGAAATCACGATCTTCTTTCCTTTCTTCTTTCTTCCGCCTCCTCCATTGCCAGCTGTCTGTTGAGGTGGTTCTTCTCTCTTTGGAGGCTCTTCTGATGGCTGTTCCTGTGAATGGGAGGTAGGAATATGCGACTTTTTCTCAACTTTGTTCAAAGCGTTAATTGACTTCGATTTTGGAGGTAGTCTTGAGTGTTCAAGAGTGGCAATTCCGTTGTGTATTCTAAAGAGCTCTGCCCTCTTCCTCGGGTCAGGCATCGAAGCGACCATGTCGCAGAAAACTAAGTTCTTCTGGTCGCCGCATATTTCTGAGAAGTTCTTGTAGAATTCTTCGCAATCGATCTTGTTTTCGATCAGTTTCTTCGCGTAAATTCTCAATCTCTTGATTGATTCTGGAGAATTCTTGAAACAGTCGTTCAATCTGTTCATGAGCTTCTTGTTAAGTTGTATCATCCTTTCGCGTGAGTCATCTGGCTGCTGAACGTGGTTATCGTTGAAATCTCGTGTGATATCGATTTCGACGTCTCTTTCTCCATGAACTTTCTGGAGATGCATGAGTAATTCGCCGCGTGTAAGGAATGCGATGAGATTCTCTGATGAACATTCGGGATGATGGCACACAAAGTGTTGTTTTTCGTTATGTTCGATAAGATCTGCGGAATTATTGAACCATAAGACGTTATTTTGTTTGGCACAAAGCTCGCAACGAACATGCTTCTCGCGCATATGGTTGGCAAGAGTCATTGCGTCGAAACAAACTTGATTGCAGCAAATACAGCGAGGATGTTGCTTCAAATGTTCGTAATAGGCTGCACGTTGGAAGATTGGGCATGCCTCAGGTGGATAGCGTCCGCTGTTGAAGCAGATGCAGCAGACATTCATATGATGAGATTTCATGTGAGAAGCGAATAAATCGATGTTTTGTAAGACCATTTTACACTCTGGACATTGGAATTCGTATAGTTGCTTAAGTGCATCTAGGGCAATATCATCTGTGTAATATAAATTAAATTGAGAATTAAATTTTGGCTTTAATTTGCGCGCTGATTCGTAGTCAAGGCTCATATCTGTGACTGCGACTGGTTCTTGACTAGGCTCAATTGGTTTCTGGCAGAAATAACAATGATTTCCACCATAATTGCGATTAAACCTGATAAAGCATTGCAAGCATATGTTGTTGTGGTTGCATGGCAAAAGAACTCTGATTTTAATTGGTTCGGAGCACAAGTCGCATTCGGGTATGGCAGGAGAAGTCATCTTGGCTCTTAAATTTTTAATTCTCAAAATTTGATAGGGAAATTTTAGCCCAACAGATATTTTAGGGGTATGCTAAGGTATAAGATTTCGACTTTTGCCAAGTTTTCAAAATTGAATTGGTGTGAATTTTTTTTGGAAAATGGTCGAGATAATATTGATCCACATTACATGTTTAATATGAATTCACATGAAAATTGTGCAATTGCTCTATTCATTGAATTCAATCTGAGGAGAACAATGTTATCATTGATAGTATAGAGTTTGCAAGTTAATATAATTTTAAATACTCGAGCGCAATTGAAGTTTGAAGACTTTTTACATGGAGGATTTCAATTCAACCTCATTTTCTTTATCACAATCATTCACTAAGTGTGCAACGCCATATATGATGTGATTTCGACAATATACACTACTATCAACTATAGTTTTTAGAAGATAAATCAAAATTTAAAGTAATTTATATAATTATATAGGTAATCATGCTCATTGAGATATCTGCTTAGAAATTTACATCATGGTTAAGTTCATATGTGCTGAAAATATATATAGCTTCTAATTTCAATTGAAGATAAAAATTATCCATTAACTTGGTTGTCTCTGAAAGAAACACTTAAACCTGATTTCAAATTAAGCAAATGAGTATAGTTTTCTGAGCAAATGTCCTCAATTTGAATGATATTCACAGAGGACAAGGTTAAAAATAAGGCAAATTTAAGTTTATGCCTTGCCCAACGGAATTTTGTTGGGATGTACTGATCAGGCTTCAGTTTAATAATGGTTGGCTGTGAACGATATAAAAAATTATTCCGCTTGGTTTTAAAATAGTTTTATTTGATAAACAAAGAGATTACAAACAGTTTATTCATATATTAATATTCTTAAATAGCTTAAAAGGCTTGGAAAGAACCATTAAGAATATTAGCTGGAGTTGTTGCAATTTTAATTTTTCCAGCTCTCCTAAATTGAGCTGGATATACTCTGGATGAGCGTGGAAAGCAAATTTTCGTAATATGTTCTGAAATTTTTAATGGGTGAACGTAATTGCATGTAGATCCATAAGGACATGAAGTTTCATTGCATATGGCATTTGATAATCTTGATATTGGTGTTAAAACGCATTCAACTTTTCTTCCAGCGTAATATTGATTGTTTAAGTTCAAAAATGCAGCTTGAGCAGCATCAACTTCTTTGAAACTTACATAAACATTACCATTCATGATGTCTGTTTTATTTGAAGCAATTAAAATATCTTCAACTGGTCCAAAACGTTGGCACATTAAGAAAATGTCATAGTAAAATGCATCAGCTGCGCGTTGCTTTTCTTCGTCGCTGATAGTTACTGAACCTGCTGGCAATAAAGATAAAAATACATCTGGATCTGGATATAAATGCTTAAATAATAGAACACGTGACATAGGATCTGATCTATGTGGTTTGTTACACATCTCTCCTTTGAGACAAACTCCGGTCTTTTCGAATTGAAGGCAAAATAATTTTTCTTCGCTCATCTTGTCGCTTTTTTGATAAATTTTTATTGAAAAAATCGAATGAACATTCCTGAAAATAGCATTATTACTCAATGCACAAAGTGTGGAGCACTAGTGGTCATCACAGCCGATACGTATAAAGATATGGAAAAGTATATAAATAAGCCAATTCCAAACCAATTTAAATCAAAACTCAAAACAATGGAAAATTTACCATTTTATGAACAATTTATGAATTCCATGAAGCGTTCACGCCAATACAGATTGAGTTTATTTCCATTGTGCATGAAATGCATTGACTCGTTATCAAAATTCGAAGAAAAATACGATAAAATCATTAGTGAAACAATTTCAGCAGTTAATGGATCAACTCATCAAATATATCAGTGCAGAGCTTACATGAATGACGTTCAAAATGCAGATATGCCAGAAATTCCGACACGCATCATTTATCAAAATGATATTGACGAAAGAAGCGGTAGCTTCGAGAAAAAGCCAGTACCACGCACAGAGCAACCGAAAATGTCTCCTTATTTTGCATTGCTATTCTTTGCCTACAAAATATCAGTTTCTGACTTCTTCGGTGTAATAAACTCAATGAGAGTTGGCACACTAGAACAGTATCCAGTTCCAGTTGAAGAAATTCAAAATGGACTTTATTGTATTATTCGGATTTTGATGAATTTATTCAGTTCATTGCGCTTGCCAACATCTTACATTACTCTTAGTAAGAACATTGTCTTTCATATTCAGAACCAAAACTTAGAATTTAATTATCCAACATCAAGGAAAGAGTATAAGCCATTCAATGTATGCTTAAGTAAAATGATGGAGATGTTTGAGCTTGCTTTTGATTTCCTGTCAAAGAAAGGAACCATTGGTCCGAACTTGATTGTTTCGGCCGAGAAAAAGATTGGTGATATCGATTACACCCTTCACTCAAATGATACGGTTGGTTTTACACTAGCAATGCGTGCACTCTTAATTGATATTAAGACTGTGCAAGTTTATCAATATAAAAGCCACTTCCGCTGAGTTATATGTTTCATCTGTTAATATATAAAAGTTGTTTAGTTAGTTCCTATTAAAAATCATGCTTTTTTACCTTTCTTCAAAAACAAAATCCATATGATTAATAAATCTAGCTGTCATCATTAGAGAAATCTGATTTAAAAGTCGAAACATGTCTACTTATCTAAATTTACATGTTATTAAAAGATTTTCTAGTTTCAATGAATTAAAAGTGATCTTGAATATGTATGTTTTCCGGTGAAACCATGATATATACAGATTAGAGTTATTAATCAATTTGTGCAAAGTCCAAACGAATGAAATTCAAATTGGCGAAAACAATTGTGATCCAAATAAAAGCTAATAAAGTGTGCAATAATGATGAGTGATGTAAAATTAGTCTATTTTCGTAATAAATTGTGGTTACAAATTCTATAAAAATATTACAAAAAAGTGACAAATCAAATGTTTAGGAGAAAAGAAAAAAAGAATATTGAACAGCCACAGCCTGCTCCAGCTCCAGTAGCACCATCGCCTCCTCCAAAACCTGTTTTTACATATTCTCCAGATATGTTAGAACTCCAAGAAATGCAAATGGTCGAAAGTCAAACTATCTTGGACGGAGAGCAGAATGCTGCATTCAGCAAATTAGTTCAATGGTTAAATTTACATGTTTTTTGTGTTCCTTATTTATATTTTCGTGTCAACTCAGGAAAAATGGATGAAAAATTTTCAACTTTCAAACAAAATGTATTAAGAGCGCTTGTTATGGAAGGAATAGATCTCATCAAAAAGCACGAGACATTGGTAAAACAACTTGATAATAATACCTCTTCTTCTGCCGCAAGATCTTTTGTAATTACAAATTATATCAATATGCCAACCGCCATGAGTACATGGAGATCCATAAAGGAGCATGATTTCTCCACCCTGCTCCTTAAAAGAGAAATTAATACCATTATTACCCTTGCCGTTCGAGATCTTAAAATTACAGCGGCAAACTTAGTATCTCTCCTCACTTCTGTTGATGCCATTCCATTGAATTATATTCCTATTATCAGATTCTCAGAGCTAGACCTCTCTACTTCTGAAATTGTCGCAGCCAGACCGATTTGTTCATTATGTACCCAAAAAATCATCGAGATACAGCAGCTTAACAGCGAACTTTTCACTACACTTAATGATTTGACACAACTGTACGCTGATCAGTCAGAATTATCATTACAAAATCAAAGAAATCAGTTGAAGAACATTTTTAGTGTTCAAAAGCAATTTTACGACCAAGAATCGAACTCTATGATGCTTACAGCAAGGACCGATAAGTTTGAAGACCTTATTTTTCATCCAAATTTTGTTTGCCACAATCTTATTTCGGCATTTCTTCAAAAGCCTGATGCAGAGAATTACTGGAATGCAGTTAATGACATTCTCGCTATTTTCCAGATCGAAGAAGATGATAAACCTCTGTTTTTAGCATTATGTTCTTATGTACTCCCCAATTTTGCAGCTCCGACCTTGAAGTTCGATGGTCTTGGTTCAGATAACGCCGAGCAACAGAACCATGGCTTCGAATTCCTCGCAACAACCGATCCTATCCAATGTCTCCACCAAATAAAGACAATTGGCGTAAGGCAATTGGCTCTTATCGCGCAGTCATTCACAACCGACTGGAAATCTCTGTACCAATTCGCTGTAGACTTCACTGATTCACAACTAATACCTTCTGTTGCTGAAATTCGTCAGTCAATCATTGAAACTGTTCTCTCTAAGTAATTGTTCTTAATAATTTTCCTCTTTTTTTATTATTAATAAAATAATTATTTTGTTTGAAAGATCGTTGTCTTTCAAAGTATAGTGTTTGATCACAAAACTAAAAGTTGATACGATCTTAAGGTAGTATAATGTCAAATCCTTCTTTTGACAAAAAAATATGAAATGAATTTTGAGTTTCAGGCTCTGTTTTATTAATTTTAAAAAGATCTAGTTATATATAATTTGGTTTGTTTGTCCTTTTCTGTTGGTTTTTTAATTAGTCAGGAAATGAAATTTTGGATTTATATATCAGATTTAAGACCAAATGCATTGATTTCATATGGAAAATCAGATTTCGAGATCAAAACGAAACATGAAACACAAAATCAGAAATTTCGTATGGAAAAAATTCTGCCAAAAAATAAAACTAGGTTTCTAAAAATCTACGAAGCCATAATTATTTACTTGCCTGTTGGAGCTCTACGATAGTATCTCCTTGTTCTTCTTGGTCTCTGGTTGAAGAACTTGTGTGCGAAGCGGATAACGACATCAGCACCATTGATCTTTACTGGTGTGTGTGCCTTAACAACAGCCTCGCAATCCTGGGCTGTAGCGAATTGGACGAAACCGAAAATAACTTGTGGATTAGACTTGGAAACAATAACCTTGGCATCCTTGGAGTTGTTAGCCTTGAAAGCCTCGATAAGATTTTCCTTTGTTGTGCCAGCAGCAAGGTGGGCAACGAAAGCGCAATCCTTTGGTTGCTTTGGTCTTGCGGCGGCAATTCTGAGAGCACGGTTGTTGATAAGGGTTTGTTCCTTAGAATCAACAGCTGCCTTCATTGCCTGCTCTGTTTCGAACTCGACGAAGCCAATGCCACGGGAAACTGTCTGGCCGCGAATTCTCTCTGTGATGATGCGGGCATTGAGAACCTTGCCGAACTTTGAAACGGCTTCAGCAAGTTCCTTTGTGCCTGCGGTGTAGTCGATGTTGGACACGTAAATTGTGTGTGACATTAGACTTGTGGCCAGATAGGAAAAACCGCTGGATTTCATAAAGAAATTCAGAAGTTTATTCTATCAAATTTATGGTCACTTCACTTTTAAACCCGAAATCAACCAAACAATCAAATTTTGTATAATGCATAGGTCAGGAATTGCAAAATTGTTGTAAACAGAAATTCATCAAAAGTGACACCTCGGAAAAGCTAAAATATTGAATTTTTGGAACTTTTGATAGAGCACGTTTTTAAATATTAATTAAAGTAAATGTATATTTTGTAAAGATTCTTTTTAATAAAAAATAAAATTTTGAAGAAGAACACAAAATCTTCTGAAAAATAATATCACATAAACTCATATTATTTTCTAATATATAACTATTTTCTATAAAAATCAAATTCAATGATCTTAAAAGCGAAGGATAAACCTCAAAATTTACGAATATAATGAGTGGGAATATAATGCTTATCTATCATAAAACCATATGAAATATTAATTTTTGCTTTACGCCTAATTTTTGACGACAATTAGCAAAAAATGTTAAATGTTAACACTCAGTCCATTTGAATATGAAAAATAAAATTGACTTTGATTAAATGTTTTTATTTATCATGCAATTCTTCTTGCGACCAAAGATTTGAATAAAATTTCAAAAAATAAGATAGCTTAAAAAATAATATACGGTAGTGTTTACTAATAGATGAATAGTATATAAATTCTATTAAAATGGATTTGATCCAAAAAAATATAAAACCAAAAATAATTGTTATAATTTAAATGAAGAAGTAATTTAAAACGATTTATTTATGATCAAATTTTATATATTTTTTTGGATCAAATCCATTTTAATAGAATTTATATACTATTCATCTATTAGTAAACACTACCGTATATTATTTTTTAAGCTATCTTATTTTTTGAAATTTTATTCAAATCTTTGGTCGCAAGAAGAATTGCATGATAAATAAAAACATTTAATCAAAGTCAATTTTATTTTTCATATTCAAATGGACTGAGTGTTAACATTTAACATTTTTTGCTAATTGTCGTCAAAAATTAGGCGTAAAGCAAAAATTAATATTTCATATGGTTTTATGATAGATAAGCATTATATTCCCACTCATTATATTCGTAAATTTTGAGGTTTATCCTTCGCTTTTAAGATCATTGAATTTGATTTTTATATAAAATAGTTATATATTAGAAAATAATATGAGTTTATGTGATATTATTTTTCAGAAGATTTCATTCTATATGCCTATGAAAAGTACTCTCAAAACTAACTTTTTCCTAATTATAATTAAATCTAGAATATTGTATTATGCTTAGTATTATTTCATTTTTCTCATTCAATTTAGAATTTACAAATGTCAAAAAATTGAGAGCTGTCACTTTTGATGAATTTCTGTTTATTGCAAAATCAACTAAATTTTGACTTTGCTTTAAATCAGGTGTCAAAAAAATAAAAATCAGAAAATTAATTATTTAGATAAGGAAATTGATAAATAATAAAATTTATTTTTCGGTAAAACAGAAATCATGACTCTGAAAAATCTCGACGATAATGTGTTTATTCCATAAAATATTGATATGGGATTATGAATTGGATATAATTTCTTGTGACCATTTTGATGACATGTGATATGAAACAGAATGAATTTGGTCATAGTTTTCACTAATTACAGGTATACATAGAATTCAGGTTACAAAATATAATATTGCTTTATTATGTATATGATAATAAGCGATTTGTATATGATTTTAGCCTTGTTTCGATGATTATTAGTGATTTCCTATCGATCAGTACTAAATATCTTTATAATGGTTGGCTATTTGCTTATAGCTGTATATAAACGTACCGTTTTGCCTGATACTTTTACAATATCACTGATTATTGATTTGACCACAATTAGAAATCTTATCGATTTCTCTGCTAACGGAGCATTTCGCAATTCTCAATTCAGACAAGTATTTTTCTGGAAAGCTTTCCCATTTGAAGGAATGAATTTCATTGTCATTTTTATGGAGAATTCAAAATGTCGATATTTTACCAGATAAACTAGTTGTAAGCAAACGTAAAAGTTTTTCTACGCGATATTGATCGAGTGTTCTTTCTATAAAATTTTGAGCTCGATAAAATTAGAGAATTTGTTTAAAATACTACGAAATTTAATGTATCTTAAAACGTCTCAACAATATTTACTTTCCTAACTTGTGATCTTTAAGTTATTTTCCTTGATTTTGAAATGCTTTATTAATTTCAAATTTGGAGTTAATGTGTATATGATTTGAGAATTGTCATAAAGCTTGAGATCATTAATTTTAGATATGGCAATAAAAAAATAATAATCTTTGTATTTTTAATTTCTCATCTTATTTTGCAATTATAAATGTGTAATTTATTATGAGAAATATCTTCTGGTTAAGTTATTCCATGAACCTTTTCAAAACTTTATTCATCCCTTTGCTGCAATATGAAGAGCAGTTTTTCCATCATAACTTTTTTTGAAAAAAAAAATCTAATATTTTCTTGTACTGTTTATAGATTAGTAATCTTCGTTTTAAATTAAGTATATGTATTTTGAATTCTTATGATCCTAATCTGAAGGGGATGGGGAAAAAATCCAAGTGAAAATGATGTAATTTTTAGCAAGGATTAATTCGGCCATTTATAATATTGTATCTTTTATCATGCAATATGAAGAGCAGTTTTTCCATCATAACTTTTTTTGAAGGAATAAAAAAAAACTCTAAAATTATAATAAACAGTGTTAAATTTTTTACTTAAGAGGTACCGCATCATCTCTTGGACCTTTCATCAAAAGATCCGCATCACAATTCATAAGTTTTATATCAGCCATGTGTTCAGGCTCTTCCTCGTCGTAGAACATGTTTGTTTCCCTTAGATGTCTCTCGAAAAGCCTGACTTTCACGTCCATCGAGAAAGGAGCGTGTGACGAAACAGGGACAGCTGTTGGGTTGCACACTCTGCACTCCCTGGCGCAGCAGTAGCTGTGGAAGTAGTGGCCGCACCCAAAAACTCTCACATCAGAATTAACAATGGGTTTCTGACAAAAACTACAAAAAGTGCCAACTTCTATCGGTTTTGACATTGTCTGTCTCACATCGTTGAAGGACTTCTCTTCGTCGTTCTTGTAGATAGTGAGGATGTTCGCAGAGCTGTCGACAACGAAATCGAAGTCGTAAATCAGAGCTCCGAGGAGATCTCGAACTTTTCCAAGATCCACGTCTTTGTAGCCGTTCTCCACGTGGGCCATGACAACGCCATGAGATACAACGTTGCAGAGATACAAACAAATCTTCTTCAATGAATCTAAAAATAATTTATCGTCTTTTCCAAAGGTAAAAACAACAGCAAACGAGCGGATGATGTCTCCTACTACAGCAACAAACTCCTGCGTCTTCGATTTGCACTCATCGGCTATGAAATTTACAATAAAATTCAGACTTTGCTCTGTATCGGCGATAGGAGCATTGTTCTTGAATTCTATGATTGTCTGAACAATGTACTTCTGAAGTGCTTCGTAGGCGTCCGTCAACTGATGGAATTGTCGCTCGATATAAGCTACCGCGTCGTAAACAGTGTTCTTGTAGCAGATTTCTAGGATCTCCTGGTTGAGGTCGATGCTCTTGAGCTCTTTGATGACCTCTCTCGGGTAGTAAATGCATAGGAAATTTATGAATTTCGTAAAAATCTTCTCTGGAAGCTTGAATCCCTCTGATCGTGAGTCGTTAAGGATTTCTCTGACAAAGTACATCGATATTAACTGGTCTTCAATCGATGTTACCACATCAAAAATTTGGGAATTGTATTTTTCAAAGAGAAGGTCCTTGAATTTGGATACATCGAGAAGAACTAAGGCTGTAGAGTTCTTTTTGAGTGCATCCAGGACGAAATTCGATGTCTCGTCGTTGATATATTTCTTGAGATAGTCAAAAACTCCTGTTTTGTTCTCAGTAATGAACTCATTGATGATCTTATCGAATCTCTTCATCTTTATGAAGATTTCTATCTTAGCATCATGGAAATGTAACGCATCACATAAAGTTATCATCGTATCGAAGAGTTTTGAATCGATCTGGGTGTTGAGGAGCTGCAAAAGAGCCTTTTCGCGTTTGTTGTTTGTTGATTTTGTGTCGAAAATGACCTTTAAAATGAAATGAAGGTTTTCCGGAGCAACAGTGACTCTTTTATCAATGATAAAGTCGAGGCATGTTGAAATAACTGTCTGGTTGATCTTATCGCCCATGTTAGAAAGTGTTTGGAGCAGGATTGAGAAGAAATAATCCATCGGAAACGGAGCAGCATAACGTTCAAGGTAGAGTAGCACGTTTGACACGATGAAACTGGTCTGGTCGTTATCCTCTTCAAGTAGAAATGCCAAATGGTCGAAAGTTTTTTGAGATGAAATCTCAGATAACCATCTTATAACGAGAATTGTGAAATGGCCGCCGTTCTGAATGAGTTCTCTGAGGAATTCGCTCGTTTTCTTATGGTTTCCGGAGAACATATACGATGATAATGCGGCTGTGTTGTCTTTTACCCTGTTTTTGAGTAAATTGCCCAGAAGAACGTAGTCTTTCTTACTCTGGGCATATTTCAGGAGTGTTTCAGTCTTCGCAACCTTGTTTGGAAGCTTAAAAACGATGTTTTCCTTTTCTGGAATTTTGATATCTTCCGAAAGAAGCCTTTCTACGAACTGTGACGAGTACTCAAACCTTGTAGCATCTGTATCTATCTCAATTATCTGCTTAAACAATGGTTCGGCGCTTTCATAAGAATCAAATAACGAAATTGCATGTTCAATGGCCCATCTCCTCATTCCGAGGTCAACAGATAGTTTGATGACCTCTTTGGCTACAGCTGATGGGTCTTCCTTCGCTTTGAGCTTCTCTTCTGCAAAATAATTAAATTGTCCGCTGAGATTTCTTTCAATCATGACGGCGCGTTGCTTCTGGTTTGGCGGAAGACCGATAGAAACCGACGGTTCACCGTTATAAGCTCTCTTGCAAAGATCAATAATTTTTGAAAAATCTCCTGTCTGAACTATGTTTTCGAAGTGATCCTGGTATGTACAGAGCGATATTGAGTTGACATCGCCTTCATTTACTATGTAGAACTCAGATAAACCGGAAATAATTAAAGAATTTGACGGAAGCTTTTCGTTGATGAAAGTATTCTCTGTAAAGTAAACTACAGTGACTGTAAGATTCTTCGAAATGATAACTACGATTTGTTGTGATAAAAATCCAACATATTGAGGGTCGACGTCGATTTCGTGTTTGTAAATCTCTTCTGTGCTGAGCTTGTCATCAAGAGAAAAGATACGTATCATTCTGCGTTCACAGATGCAGAAATAAAGTAAGGACGGAGAAACTACGTAAATTGCGCTGATATGAGCAGAAACATCGTAACTTTTTAGAACTACAATTTCATGACCGCATGACATGAGCTTTAGAGTGCCTGAACATGATAAAATTGATATGTTTTGGAAGGCAGGAGCAATTAATTTTCCTTGAACGAAAATTGAGGGGAGATTGATGTTTAATATTGGGAAATCGGATGTGTAATAAAGACTTTTGTTAACAGATGTGCCCCAAAGCTGCGCAGAAATTGTAAATTTGTAAAGATTTTCGGATCCATCAGAAGCAAGCATTGTTTGGTCATTTATAAATGCTAAACCTGTGATGGGACCTTGTACTAATCCTGGATATGGCTTAAGCCATTTTTTCGATTTCATCTCGTATAATTGCAAACTTCCGTTAGAAAATCCTGCAGCAACATACGAGTGTGTTGGAGATGCAGCTAAGGAGATGATATCTGCTTGAATAGATGAATCGTGTTTTGGAAATTTCCAAGAAAATGCACTTGAAGCATCGAAAGCATTGATATTTCCGCTTGCGGTTAAGAAAATATAAAGGGTATCATAATGAATACATGAAATTGTATCGCTGTCAACATGGACTCCACCTATATTCTTCTTTTTTAGGATGGATTCCATTTTTTATTATTTTTGACAAGTAAACCATTTTATTTGACAATTGCATTCTTATAGAGAAATTGTCCAATATAATATCTTAAAGGCTGTTATATTTGTTTACATGTTTTATGTAAGAAATACGAAATACAGATTAATAATTGATTTGGATTTCGTAAATCTCTAAAATAAAGAATGTTTGATATGTGCATTTTTAATTCTGAGGTATATCTAACTATATTATGGATTTTTCAATAAACAATACAAAAACATTCGAATTTCAATTTGATTTGATTTGCTAATGATTATTGAAGTTCTTTTATTTAGCATATATTACACGAGTTTAAATAACATGGCAAGTCTTTCGTTTTAAATTTCTTCAGCATTGTAAATAAAGATGATTTTATATCGCATATGAAAATTATATGATATATTTAATTTGTGCGTGGTGTAGTTAACACTGTAAAAACAATAAAGGCTGCAACAGCAATGCAGCAAACAATCAATACGCATAAGACAGCAATTAGTGCTTTCTCTGAACCATCTCGTTTTTTAGATGAATCATTTTCTTCACTTTTTTCTCCTTTGTCTTTTTCACCTTCATTTCCTTTATTTTCTTCTTCATCTCCATTACCTGTATCTTCCTGAATATTTGATTTGATATAGAACGTGAAGCCTGTTTCGTCCTCTTCAGTTTGTCCTTTTACAACAATATTCACTCTTCCAGATTCACTTTCAACAACATTTGGAACTGTTATTGAAAATTCTTTCTTTAGTTGTTCACCATTATTTTGAAGAGTAATTTTTTGAACTTCTGTTTCATCCAAAAAGATTTGTATAACAAATGAAGAATCCATACTTGTATCTGGATCATAAATGATTGCTGTAAATGGAACACTGTCACCTGGAGCAAATTTCTTGTTTCCTGGCAAACCTTCCAAAATTACATTCAATTTTGTGTTGTCCTGAACCTTAATTTCAAATGATTTCTCATTTGATTCAAATCCATCATTTGCAACAAGTTTAACTGGATATGTTCCTTCCTTTAAACCCTCTGGAATATCAAAAGTGAACTTTAATTCTTCATCAGATTTTAACTTTCCTTGATCAAACTTTTTATTGTTGAACATGAAGTAGACATCAAATTCTTTATCTTCTTCATCTAAGTCTGTAATTTTTGCTGAGAAATCAACTTTATTCTTTGGAAGGAAGTGCTTATGTTTCGGTTTCTGAATTAATTCGATTTGTGGTCTTGAATTGACTGAAAGAATCTCAATATCTGTCTTGTATTCGATTGGATTAGAACCATCTCTTAATCCGATGACTTTTAATATGTAATTTCCAGCCTCAATTGGTTTGATTTTCTCTGAAAACGGAAATTCATGATTTACCATTGATGTAAAATGAGCGAAAGTTTTTTCTAAAGCAATATTTCCTGTTTGTTTGTTAACAAGCTGGTATTTAACATCTAAACTGCTTTGGGTAAAATTGTATAAGATTGTTCCTTTTACATCTATCATTTCTCGCTTTGCGTATGTTTCTGATAGTGAATCTTTATCTATTGTAATTTTTGCTGGGCGATAATAACCTTTATAAATCATGAATTGCCCAATAAGGTATTCGTCTTTTTTGATTCCATATGTATCCCATGTGATTGACATCCATCTCAAATCTTTTTTGTTCTTTAAAGGAGTGTCTGTAAATAAATTCGGCCCCTTGGCGCTGTATCCATAGCTTGAATAAGTTTTATCAGCAACTGATGGATTATTCTCCATTACCCATGTGTACTTTCCAATGCCATCCATTCTAATGCAGTATCCAACGTCTTCAATTTCTTCACCAGCTTCTGTAATATTTTCAATGTTAAAAAGGAATCCTGATGAAAAATCAAACTTTTTATAACCATTTCCTTTGCAATATAAAGTTTGTCTGATGATTGTATATAAACCATTTGGATCATTTTCGACTTCCAATGAATAATCTATGCCTCTAAATGTTGAAATTTCAGCACCAATATCCTTTCTAGTCTTCTTGTCCTTCTTTATAGATATTTGTGTTTTAAATTTGTTTGTTATTGAAACATTTGTTCCATCGACCATATCATAAAGAGTAACAGAGTATGGACCGTCGATAACAGCTTCAAGACCATATGACAGTCTGGCAAGATAAAGTCCAATCATTAACAATATAAAAAAATGAAGTTTTTATAAAATCGAGTGTTTTTTTCAATTTTTGAAAGGGATTATTTAAAGAGTCAATTGACTTAGCATTTATAAAAAGAATGTTTTATTAATCATATATACTTTCTTGATTAGTTTTGAAGAAATATTAACTTGATGGGAAGATTATTCAAATTGAATTACATTTCAAAATTTGAATTGATATTATTTCTAATGTATTATCGAGAAGATGCGTGTATAAGTATGAAAAGCAATAATATTAAAATTAAAATTCAGCGATGTCAAAATTTAATCGCTTTTGAATAGTTTACAAATTCATTAGCTGATTCAAACATCAAAATTTTATTTATCTGTAATATCCTTATTTTTGGATAAAACAATGTGTTGTTTTTGAGTCCTTCTGCAAATATAAAGCGCCTATGCTTACAATTTGATTTTCGGCGTCAAAAATTTTCTCACTGGGTTTTCGTCTATCAATCCCAGCTTATTATATACGCAACCAATCAAAAATCTGATATGGGAGTCCAAGGCTAACTTTTTGTTGTCTACCTAATAAAAGAGGAAGCAGCATTAGTGAGAATAATCGCAAATATTCAATTTAAATTATCTTTTTATTCTTAATTTAAAGTGACAAAAAGAATAAAAAACCTATTCTAAGGCATGTTGTTATGTAAATGAGACTAGACATCATATTTTATGTTATGAAAAAAAAAATTTAGAATTTTAGAACAAAATAAATAGAAAAAATAGCATAACTTATGGATGTGCGTATATTAAATTTAATAAATTAAGAGAAATTATTTTTGGCGCCAAAATTATTCGTTAACTCTCAAATTTTTCTGAGTCAATAAGCCGCCAAAAAAGTGTCATTTTGTTTCGTTAGAGAAAGATGAATTGTCCATGTCATCCAATCGGGAACAAGGGGGATGGGGATTAGATGATAAAGAAGCAATTCATGCTCTCTATCTGAAGCAATCAGACTTACCAGCAACAATGTGAATCAGTCTTTCACTGAATGAGTAGGTGTTGGAAGAACTGTTCTCTAAAGCGATACAGTTGCGCTACATGTTCGTCAACTTGTCTAGAAATAAATATATCATTTGTTTTATACGTTTTTTCGTAATAAATCTATTTGTATTTGTTGTATTTGAGTATGAAGATAACAAAAACTACGGCATAAGACGCAGTACACTGGGCTTCGTTGCCATTTTATTTACCATGTTAAGAATAAACTTAACAGACATGCTTTGTTTTCGACGAAGCCATCTAAAATAACGTACATCTAAATAAAACTAAAAAACTGTAAAATTTCTTTATTTGATAGTATACTTCAAATTATGCACTATACCTTCTAGAATTCTATAACACTCTTTGCATATAATTTTTTTAAAAAAAGTTATATCTCGACATAAATATGATTTATCAATAGAGTATGTAAAATAAAACTCATTCGCAGTATTAAAAAATCGTAAATCTTTCCAAAAAAATTTTGAATTACAAATTTTAAAACTTAAAACAATATTTTTTGAAGCGAAAAAACGAAATCTAATTTTTTTTGGAAAATTTAGAATAAATAGAGCTCTTTAACTCGTCGAATACAAATTGTTTTCAAGTTTTTTTCGACCGGAAATTGAACTTTTAGAGTTTATACAATAAGATTCACATGAAAAAATACGGGTTTAACAAAGAAATCACCAATATAAAGGTTTTTTAGTAGAACGAGATTGATAAAAACTATGGTATGATAAAAAGACGATAATTGAAGAATATGAATGATTCGAATTACAGACATACTCTAGTCCGAAACTTACTATGGTTCGTGACTTATTTTTGACACAGAATAGCTGTAGACTAAGGCTTACTCTAGATCCAGACTTATTATACAATTAAATTTGCTTTTGGAATAAGGCTTAATTTTAGTTACAAACTTATCTTAATATCAGACTTATATTTAGAATCAGACTTACTTTAGTCTAGAACTTACATTTAGAATCAGACTTACATTTCAAGTCAGACTTACTTTCGTCCGAGACTTACATTTCAAGTCAGACTTACTTTCGTCCGAGATTTACATTTCAAGTCCAAGGAAAAGAGACTATTGATGACTTACTTTCCATCGATGGTGCACAACAGCAGGGAGGGGATTGGTGGGTTTGGGGAAATTCGCTGAGGCACTAGTGTCCGGATTGTTCGTCAAATAGGTTTCCTTTCCTATAAAGAAATGACACTTTTTTGGCGGCTTATTGACTCAGAAAAATTTGAGAGTTAACGAATAATTTTGGCGCCAAAAATAATTTCTCTTAATTTATTAAATTTAATATACGCACATCCATAAGTTATGCTATTTTTTCTATTTATTTTGTTCTAAAATTCTAAATTTTTTTTTTCATAACATAAAATATGATGTCTAGTCTCATTTACATAACAACATGCCTTAGAATAGGTTTTTTATTCTTTTTGTCACTTTAAATTAAGAATAAAAAGATAATTTAAATTGAATATTTGCGATTATTCTCACTAATGCTGCTTCCTCTTTTATTAGGTAGACAACAAAAAGTTAGCCTTGGACTCCCATATCAGATTTTTGATTGGTTGCGTATATAATGAGCTGGGATTGATAGACGAAAACCCAGTGAGAAAATTTTTGACGCCTTGATTTTCAATTTCAAAAATGTTCTCATTTTGCCTTTTTGAAATCATAATTCGTAGTGTCTGGAGGAGGATGCAATAGTGAAAAGATTATAAGAGAATAATAAATAAACTGTAAAATGATTGTCTTCTCGATTAAATTTGGATATGGCTCCTATGTATTTTCAATTACATGTACTTAGGAAATCAAAAATTCATCGTAACAGAAAGAATGCATATACTTTTCACTTACAATTGAGATTTCATTATCAATGACATATATTGGAACTGGATAAAATTGGCATACTAATAGCGGGTAAGCTGTGAGATGCTTTAAAAATTCAATTTAGAAGAGTAATGATTGTAAAATAAATTTGTCGACAATAATAAATAGATGAGAATAAAATATGTTCGGTTAGCTTCGGACTTAGCTATTTAGATTGCCTTTTTTGATTTACTATGAAGATTTTGAAAAATAAACGTATTAAGTCAGAGTTAAAAAATAGTGTAATAATAGCAATCAGCATGTTACATGTTTAACAATAATTTAGTATTTATATGGATAACACTGAGATCAAAAATTGTTCCGATTTTTTCTGGATTTTTTTGGGTCAATTCTTTAAATCATAATTGCTATATGACAGAGAGTTGTATTCGAGAATCGAAATTGTTTTTTACAACTTTTTTGGAAAACCATAACAATCTGATTTCGCAACAAATGAAAAAATTAAATCAAACCTAAATGAATCGATAGGATTCTTATAATATATGAGATCACTGAATTCAACAATGCATGAAATCGATGATAGTAAATAAAACGCGACCATTTTATCAAAATGGCCAAATGAAAATCCAAAAAAATCTTAATATATTATTCATCATGATATTGGTATTGTAAGTAGTGATTTAATTTACCCTTTCTGTGGTTATGTCAAGCCTCTCAAAAATCTTATCTTCTAAAAATTACATATTGGAAATTATCTTTTTATAAGGAATATAACTAAATTAGTTTGAGTAAATAGCTTTATTTTGAGAAGGTTATCTTTTCTGAAAAAAGTGATTTTACTTCAAACAATAATTTTTCTAGAATTTACATGTTAATAATAAGTAATTAATTTCATTATTTTTGAATTCGAATTCAAAAATTCTCATAAATACAACAACATCTTTATTATGAAATAATAGATGTTGAACGACAAGATGTTTTTCATTCAAAATGATCGAAGTTATGAGCGGAAAACCGTATTTTCACTTTGAAAAAATAATTGAATATCGTAAAAATTTGAGATAACTCAATTGACTTCATTTCTCGAGGATGCTCGCTAACGAGTTCTCAGTTGATGCACCAAATGTCACCATCAAGGGTGAAGAAATGGTTTCCCATTATGATTACCATACATCACACGTCGTTGCCGGTGCTGATGGAATCAAGATTGTCCCAGAGACAAAGAAGTTCGAGTTCAAGACCAACTTACATGTTCCAAAGACCGGTGTCATGCTCATCGGCTGGGGTGGCAACAACGGTACAACACTCACATCCGGTGTTTATGCAAACACGCACAATCTTGTTTGGGATACAAAGCGTGGCGAGGTCAAGGCTAACTATCATGGTTCCCTCACACAGTGCGCTACAACATACCTCGGTCAGGATGAAAAGGGCACAACATATGTTGCTCCATTCAAGGCTTTACTCCCAATGGTTAATCCAAACGATTTAGTCATCGGTGGCTGGGATATTTCCAAGCTCAACATTTATGAATCAGCTCGCCGTGCTCATGTTATGGAGCCAGCCATGCTTGTTCAGATCAAGGACGAGCTTGAGAAGATGCACCCACTTCCAGCTGTCTTCGATATCAACTTCGTTGCTCCAAACCAGAAGGATCGTGCTGACAACGTTATCCCAGGCACAAAGTGGGAACAGCTCGAGACAGTCCGTAAGCAGATGAGAGACTTCAAGGAGCAGAACAAGCTCGAGAAGCTCATCATCCTCTGGACAGCCAACACAGAGAGATACTGCGAAGTCAAGGAAGGCGTCCACATGACACCAGAACAGCTCCTTCAGGGCATCAAGAACAACGACCCAGAAATCTCCCCATCTACAATCTACGCTACAGCTGCTATCCTCGAACACATCCCATACATCAACGGTTCTCCACAGAACACATTCGTTCCAGGACTTATCCAGCTCGCTGAACGCGAAGATGTCGCCATCATGGGTGATGACTTCAAGACAGGCCAGACAAAGTTCAAATCAGTCATGGCTGACTTCCTCATCTCATCAGGTCTCAAGTTAACAGCTGTTGTTTCCTACAACCACCTTGGTAACAACGATGGTCTCAACCTCGATTTCGAGAAGTGCTTCCGCTCAAAGCAGATCTCAAAGTCCTCCGTCATTGATGATATGGTTGGCTACAACCCAATCCTCTATCCAGAGGGAGCTCATCCAGATCACGTTGTCGTTATCAAGTACGTCCCATCCGTTGGCGATTCAAAGCGTGCTCTCGATGAATACGACTCCGACATCTTCTGCGGTGGCAAGAACATCATCTCCGTCCACAACACATGCGAAGATTCCCTTCTTGCTGCTCCATTGATGCTCGACCTCATCATCCTTATGGAACTCTTCACACGTGTTGAGCTCAAGGATGAAACAATGAAGGACTTCCACCACATGAACGCTGTCTACTCCGTTCTTTCCTTCCTCCTCAAGGCTCCAAGAACGCCAACAGGCACACCAGTCATCAACTCACTCTTCCAGCAGCGTGCTTGCATGGAGAACATCCTTCGTGCTACACGTGGCCTTCAGCCACTTAACAACATGCACCTCGAATGGAAGATGCCAGTTAAGCATAACTAAGATTTTTGTGAGAAATAAAAATTTTGATAGATTGATAAATTTCCATCACGTCTTTCTTTATAAATCATGTTTTTATCGAATAAGAAGTAATAGAAAATTGAAATTTCAGAATAAATTTTTGTATTTTCTGTATATTTCAAATGTTTATGGGAGGAAATGAACCAATATCTAAAATAAAATCTTATCATCGTTAAATATTCTCTGAAATTTTTCCAAATTTTTTCCAAAAATCAAATTTTAATGATAAATTTAACAATTTTTAATATGAAATCACAAAAATCAGAAAAAATTTGGAAAATCAAGAGATCTGTTTTAGATTGAGGACATAAAAACTGATATATTCATATCAAAATCAAGCTCAGCCTTTAAGAATTTGATTTCACGATTATATTTCCTACTTCAAAAGCCTTTAATGACGTAATATTTATCTGCCTAAGACATGACCAATTGATACCTGAACTCCAAACTGGTGAACGTTTTTTTACTGATTTTAGAGGAACATTTTATTATCTTTATCCTTAAGAACCAATATAATAATATTAAATGAAAGTTTTACTTTGAGCGATAAATTTAATTCACAAAATTTTACAATCTAACCACTTTTGATTGAATATATTCAATTTCTCTCAAAAATTTTTAAAATATTGGAGAAATTTTTATAATTTTAATCCATAATGAAGTTTACATTTATAATGCATCATAATTGAAAAATCGAATTACAGGTTTCCAAATCAACTTAACATAGTAAATATACCTCTTTAACATAAGTTAAATAGATTGTCTCTTTCGATTTTCAGATTTTTCTTTATTTTTTGTTGGTTGCAATGTTAAACAACATTATCCAGTTTAAGGGTTCAAAAGAAGATCTTAAAAGTGCAATTGAGAGCCATAATGGACTTACTGTTCTCGATATGAGTACACAATGGTGTGGTTCTTGCCGTAGATTAGCAATGTTGTTACCGAAAATTGCAGCAGAGAATACAGACGTACTCTTTCTTAAAGTTGATGTCGAAGATAACCCCGAACTTAAGGAATACTATAAAATCGATCAAATACCTGTTATCAATTTCTGCAAGAATGATAAAGGCTTGGAACCAATTAAAACCTTAGTCGGATTAAACGTTCCTGCCATAAAAGAAAACATTACATCACTGAAATAAAACATCTTTCCCTTAATAATTATTTACAGCTTTTTAATTATCTTAGTAACCATTTGTTTTATAGTTAAGATACATCTTCTCTCCCAGAATTGAGGATTTTTGGAATTTATCGTTAGATAAAAACAGTTTATTATTTTATATAACGTTGATAATTAAAGTTTCGGATAATACGAACATTAATTTTTGGCTCTTATTCCAACTCAGACTGAAACACAAATGATGTATAAAACATTATTTCCAGAAACGTACAATTGAGAAAATATATGAAAATTAAAACTTCGATAATATCATAACATTTACATGCTAAATATTACGCATAATATAATTAATAACATTACAAAAATACAAACAAAAGATAATATGGTATGGGCTTAATATGTGAATAATGATGGATAAACATTGGTCGATAATAACTGCATAGCTGTGGAAGCAATATCAAATTCCTTTGAAATATGTGTAAGAACTGGCAAAAGCTGTTGGAGAAGAACTGTGTCGTCTTTTTCGCCCATCCAAGGAGTGATTCTAACAAGATTACTACGTTGGAAGAGCGCAGAGGCACACATATCATCAACTAAGAGAACGCGGTTCAATGGACGATTTAAGATACGAAGATCTTTGACGTGATATCCGTCGGCACATTGACACGAATCTCTAAAAAGACGATGTTCCTGGTCTATGTATGGAGCGATAGCATCAATAACCTTATCCGCATAAGGCTTTTCTGAAGCTGTAAAGATGAAAATCTCGTACATTTCTTTGATTTTGTCTAGGAATTCAATCGCACCTGGTCTAACTGTTACATATGCTCTCCTTCGACCTATTCTGACAGGGAAGCATTCTGTTTTCGGAGGGAGTTGATAACTGAATACGAGTGTTTCATCTAAATCAATTGCAATGCAGGGTTTTGATAGCAATATATTGCTTATGATTTCTTGAGAGCATGCTGTTGTAAGATTTAACTGAGCTGCAGTTGAATTCATTGGGTAGGCAAGCATCAAATTTAATTTGATAAGAGTGATAGAAAAATCAATTTTGATTTTCAGATTTAACCGAAAACAAAATTCAATTTACCTCAGTCCAAATCAGTTTAAATTCTAATGGTTTGTATAATAATAAACAATAAATATCGAAACGAGGATAAATTTTTGAGAGAAGTATTTTGAAAATTATGAAATCATGGAATTCCTATTAAACATGCTGATACAATATTTTTTACTTTTAGAACCGGAATGATCTTATTGAAAAACAGAAATATGACAATAGATGAGAAGTTTGTGAGATTTACGCACATTGAACCAATATTTTTCAATCATTAACATATATAATAATTAATCAAACATGATAATTTTGTCAATTTTTCAATAAGATTTTGGAAATTTGAATAATTTTATGAAGATTTTCAATATTGATTGTTTTCAAAATTTAATGAGAATATTCCGTATCATAACGCTATTCATAAATTAATTCCTTTTTCAAAAATTGAAAGGTCAATTTTTTTTGTCAAAATGACACAAGAAGGAAAGTACACATATTTATAATACAAGCATAATTTATTTTATGACAAGAGTTCGAAAATTTGAGTTTATTGATCAAAACTATAAAAAATAAAATCGAAATTTGGGCTATCCTCCTATCATATAATCCATTTTAAACAAAATATCTCTTTTATCCGTTTTGTCATCTGCCAGATAAAACCCCATAAATATATATTTTTTTCTAAGACATTCAAAAATGTCACTTTTAATAATGTAATCAATTTTATGTTCATATTCGTCGCATTCGACTGTCCACATTTTCTCACAATGATTTCTTAATCTCTGATGTTAGTTGATGTTTTCTATTTACTTTTTAGATATAATAATAGTGGCTAATCTTACCATAAAAATTGTATAGATGAGTTATTCCTTCATTTGCTAACAGGGAGGCTATTAATCTAGGATATGTTAGTTCGGTGCTGCTATTTCCATTTGTTTAAGCTCTAATTTTCGAATGATGAAATATTTCTTAAGTCAATGAAATTCATAATGAAGTTCAACAAATTTTCAGCAGTATATATCTATTCCAAGTTTGTTATTTAGTTTTTTAAAATATTTGATATATGGAGTAGGTTCAATTTCAGAATCATGGTTGGGGTGTCTATAATTATTCGAGAGCGTATTGAAGATACCAACAATTAAGTGGTTGTTTGCAATTGTGTTTTTTTTTGTTGAGGATGAGTCATTTAATTTCTTTTGGATGAATTTGAGTAATTGGAAAAGTACAGTTATTATCAGTCCACTGTATCGAATAACTCTTTAATTTGAATGAAATTAATATTTGCTATTTATTAGTTTATTTTGATATATGCAAATATAGGTCGAGATGAAGATAAAAATTATGCAAATATTATTTCGAATTATTAATTCAATAATCTTTTGTAGCTTTTTAATGATTTTATCAGTGTCATAGAAGGTCAATCAATCTCATAAAGAGTTTGTCACGGTATTTTAGGAGCGTATTAATGTGGAAACGAAATTTATCGTTTATTGAAAATTGAATCATATTATTTAATTTGATTATTTAGTGAAAATGCAATTCAGAAGATGATATGGAATGTATATGCAAATCATAAAATCAATTAAAATTGAGAATGTTGAAATTACAAATATTGAATTTAGCTGTTATAATAACACACAGAATGATGCATGTAGTCTTTCTTTTAATTTTAATTCAATTTTTCAAATAAATGATAAATTAAATCTTGATGGTAATCCATTAATTTCAATAAATAATATAATAAATTTTTAAATTCTCAAATTTCAATCATCCTCTTTTTTAAAAAAGATATTTTATTTCAAGTAAGATCTGTTCTTTCGAGATAATATAAAATTCAAAACATCAACTCAATTAATAACTCAATTTTTCTCCTATTTCAAATTTCAGGCAATAATTTGAAAGCTCTCGATATAACGTTCTAACGTTTGACGGATGAATTTATCTCCAGTTCAATCTACTAAATCATTTTATATCGAACAATTTTTTTTCATATTTAATCATTAAGGGTGCACCCGTATGTACGTTTATTTGAGAGGAGGAGGATTACCCTCTCAATTTTGAGGGATTCGTTAGTTTATTTTCTCGATGAATATGCAATAAAATTTGATTTTTACCTTATCAATATACTTCATATAATATACACATGTTCATTTAAAAACTTTTTTCCAAAATCCTCAGGAATTAAGGGAGTTTTGAATTTTAAGAATTTTTTTCGAATTTTTTCGAAAAAAAATATTTTCAGAACAGCCTTAACGGCTAAGATTTAGGAACAATGTTAAGTATCAAAAAGAAAGGAGGTCTGATATAGACAACATATATCGTTGAAGGTTGAAAAAATCTCTAATATTTGAGCCCAAAATTTCAAATTTTAATTTTTGAAAAAAGAGGCCACCCGTATGTACGTTTATTTGAGAGGAGGAGGATTATATTTTTGAAAGGGTGAAACATTATGAATATGTTAATTATATAATAATATGTATTATTATAAAAAAGAAAAAATAAAGCACGTTAAAATTTTTCTTTCTTGATTTTTTACAAAATCTACTTAGAATTATGCAAAATATGACTAAATAATTATAAATTTCAAGTTAAATTTTAATTTTGATAAATAATTTAAATTTCAAAATATCAAGTTCAGTTCGACTATGTATGTAGTAATTCCTCAATAAAGTGCCAAAACCCTATTAAAATATATGAACATTTTCAACATTTTAATGTTTTTATTTAAAAATTTGTTGGAATATGAGCTTCAAACAATTATTATGTAAAGAAAAATAATTAAATATATGTATTTATTCGTATTACAACCGTAGTAAGTCGATTCTTCCTTTCTTCTACTGAGTTTTGAATTTGATTTCGAATTGTAAAGAGATTCAAAGGGAAAATACTAGCGGATAAAAACTACCTCCATGAAAGGGTCATAATGGACTCAAGTTGTATTTTTTGATATTTTTTGCTTTTCGAGCCTAAATAGGTAGCCAAGATAATGCCTAAAAATAAGGTTCTAAATTCTGAAGTTTACATGATCCTCTCGTGTGCACCCTTAAATTGAATTCAATTTTATGCTCTTTATTCCAATTATCGTTTATACCAATAACTGAGCATTTCATTTAAATTAATTTTTTTTCTTTCTTTTTCGATATTCGATGATTTTTTAATGATTTTGCTATATAAAGCGTCTAATACATATTCTTTTGCTCTCCATAATATCGTTTTATTTTCAATATTTACAGACTTTGATTAAGCATTCAATCAAAATTGAATAATATGCACATATAATGTCCCCTTCTTTATTATTTTCCACCAAAATTCGAACGTAAAACAAACGTTATGTTTCATAAGGCGATTTTTAAAAATTTCTATTCTCACAATTTTAGAGTTGTCTATTTCCCATTATTAATACTTTAATATAATATATGGTCGTTTTCTATTTCTCTATAGTTCTCAATTTCACAATTAATTGATTTAATAATTCAAAATTGATTATTACAATTAATATGAATATCTTTATACACTCTCCTGCTGGTGCTGTTTTCAAATTGATGTTCGAGCATACTGACATCATTGGGAGTATTGAGAACAGGCTCAATTGCCAAGATCCAATAATTTGTTTTCACAATAATATTATCCTCGAAAAGCACTTTTCGTTTGATTTTTACGATGTCAAAGATGGAGATCATATATACACCACCAGCGAAAATGGAAGGTCAAATCTTAAATTGTGCCAAAAATTATCCAAATCAATAACAATCACCAATCAGCATGATAGATTTTCTCTAGAGAATTCTTGTTTGAGACTTATAGACATGACCTTTGTTAGAGCCGAAGGTTCATATAGCGCAAATCTCAAATTAGTTAATTGGTATAATAACTTGCAGAAAACAGAAACTACCTTCTACCAGACAACCCCAACAATCTTACCAGAGAAATCTAAGTCTCCTTGCTCTGATCCTCTCCCTACTCTATGGTAATCGCTTTATCACTCGATTAGTTTTTGTGGAGTTCCACTCTGGAGTTTGGAGACAACTCATGCGCTTTTGTTTGTTTAAATATTATAATTTCTATCTAATTTTAGTCATTTTTTCATTAATGAAATTTTTTATTTTCTGCTTTTTCTTAGGATTAACAGTTTTTATGGAATAGGGTTTCTCTCAGGAAAGAAAATATCTACTCCAAAAATGTCAAAACTCAATATTTTATCTGGTCATAATGATGTTAGAGATAATTCAATATTATTGATAGCAATCCATCTAGCTTACAATAAAACCAATTTAATTCTGAAACAGTCGATAGGATTTCCAATGAAATCAAGATCAGGGATTTTCGATGAAAGCTTAGAATATTCATATCAACTTTATATAGGAAGTACGATTTAGACATTTACAGATGCATTGACAATGAAAATAATCAGAACAAATTGAAATATTCTTCTAATTTGAACCAGAAAGATCTATAACAGTACTCATTGCAGATAACTACGGTTCATCAATATAATCTTCCGAAATCATGATATAATGCCTTATTTACATTATCAAATAAAATTTAAAATTTGTCACTTTTTGATTAAAATCTTTGTAAAAATATGAATGAAGTTGATATAACATCATCGAGTAGCCTCACGTTTAGAGACACAGTTGGTACCCATACTCTTCAACGAATTGCGTCTGCCCTGTTAAATTACTCTCAATCTAGGGTTGCCATGGGAATTTTAATTTTTATTCACTCATTCTTTCCACCATTTCAATTACTTGCCTCATCATTCGTTTTACCATACTTCAACAAGACAGATGAATCAACTCATTCAATAGGTTTACGTAAATTCTTTTGCTTTTTTATTAGAATTGTTGATTACGACTCTACAACTGGATTGCTTTTACTTTGCGAACGAATTATTTTCTTTGTAACAGTTATAGTTTTCATCGGTACGCTTTCAATATACTTTGCGCTTTTTTATTTCAAAAAAAGATTATTTAACATTTCAAATGCAGCGTTTGTTTTACTCCATTTCGCAAGCAGACTATTCCTTCCGTGGACAGCATCGTTTCTAGCCGTATCATTCTACAATTTGCTCGAAAATGGAGATTATACATCGTTTATTTACTGTTTAGTCTCGTCTTTACTAAATATAATCATCTGTATATACGGTAATTGCGTATTGTCATGCGCTCCATCGTTTTATCCTTGCATTGGTGCAAAATGGGTCGAAAATAGTGTTGGTGATTACATTACTTACATTATCTTCATTTTGATTGAAGTAGCACATGATGTGAAGACAAACAAAACGTTAAACATCGTTGTAGCGTCTGTTGTTTTCGTTTTATTCGGAATTATATTTTATTCTTACGTTCGAGCTTTAACTTTTACATACGTGCAGGTCAATGCACTTATTTGGGCAGTATCATTCATCACATTGATCGGCTACTGTTGGGATATCGTTTATCTCGCAGGATTTGATAATTATTTGTCTGCCTTTCAAATTACGACAATTTTATTCTATCCAACATACAAGATATGCTATGTTATTGCTCTCCACATGAACAACAAGATATTAGTATCAGTTCTTGAAGCAGAAGAACAAGGATTTGCTTTTCTTGACATAAACAATCCAGTTAAATGGGTAAACTACTCCTGTATAGGCTATGAAATACTAAACTACAATCTGGCGATGATTAAATTCGGAATGGAGAAGTTTCCTGACGATATCTTGACTTGTTTAACATATATCAAGCTGGCAATGCTTCTCCCAACACTGCAACCTTCAGCAATGAGCTATGGTATAGGAGAACTCGAGAGAAGAGCAAAAGGATCCTCAATTGACATAATTGTCCTCTCAACTTACAAAATGGAGATTGCTAAACGCGATGACGGTTCAACAGATACAAAGTCTCGTTACATTGATGTAACAAAAGCCTTTGTTTCTTCGTTTTTGTCATATTCAGTTCAATTTTGGAAGGAAATCAACGCTTCCAGGTCGAATAGAGCAGTTTCTCTGGCTATGGAGACACACGAAAGATACAAAGCAGCGGTAAATATGATAAAAGAACTCAAAATTTCGGGTTCATATGTTCAATTACTTCGAGATAACCTTCCTTTACCTTTCTTCGGCACTCCTTTTGATACAGAAGACGAGATACTGATGGACGCAAGGAAAATGTTCCATATTCAGAATGATATAACAAAATACAACGAAGAAAACGAACTCCAGAAGCAGCCATACTATTTAACAGGCAAAACAATACATGAAACATACGCCAGGAAGTTCCTCATTCTTCAGAAACTCTCTCTTTTGCTTCCTTACGTTTTTACCTTTTTAATAATCATATTTACGTTCGTTGTAGTCCATAACTTCCAAATATACCCGACATCGGCCATGAATATCATTGATAAGTTCACTGACGTAAGTAATAATTTGACTTCTATTTTATATGCGTCAACTGTAGGTTATTTCATACAGAAAGATAGATTAGACCCACAGATGTTCTTGAATGATTACACAAAGAAGATCTACACATCGGGATTGCAGAATTTTACTTATGATATTGATTCAATAACTTTAAAGATCGCAGATCAAATAGATCCATTGTTTTCCATGTATGATTCATTCAAGTACCTCAATTTAACACAGTATTTGGAAGCAAAAGGCATAATTCATTACAAATTTGCTGATAATCACATTCGGAACTTTACTTTCTTCCCAGCTCTCTTGAACTGCCTCGTATTCACTTCCTATCTCCATAACATCACATTAACTCCGTTTGCGAACAATTTTGATAACAATGCAGTTGTTATCGACAGAATTATGGATTTTGTATCGAAATCATCAAATCCAATGCAGCAGAGCATGAAAGATACAGTTAATAACAAGATTAACAAGCTGATGATCTCTGCTTATGTTATTTTAGTTGTTATTTTACTTATTAATATTATTTTCATACAATATCTTAATAATTCATATAACAAATATTTCCATATGCTAATGATGATCCCTAAAAACAGAATTTCAATGATGATTGAGAAGATTGAACATATTATGCATAAATCTTCCAGGATTTCATCAAAAATTGAGAGCACAAAGGCTTTCTACTTGAAGCAGATGATGTGTCAGACTCCTCCACGTCAATTTGCTACTTCTACAGAGAGATCTTTGATGATGACAACGCATTGCATCATCGTTGAAGCGATTTCCATAATGGTTTTCATATTATTCCTATCAAACATCAAGAAAAAGCAGAATAAAGTGTATCTTGGCATTGAAGAACTTTCATTTGTTTCAAATCTGACTTCTTTGATCACTTTGACAGGAAGTTTAGTAGCTCTGAAGGTTGGAAATGACACAAACTCTGCAGTTAACCCAGATACTTACCTCAATCGCGTTTTTAATGAACTTCTCGAGATAAAATCTTACATGTTTATGGACAATATCTCGAAATACTACTCCATGCAGTCCATGTTCAAGGAAGTCGACAACAATTACCACTCATTGGCCGGAGCAATTAATGGTTTGTGCTTGAACATGCAGATCTTCATGAATACGGAGAATAAAACGTATACATTCGATGATCCCATCGTAAAAGAGATCTTTGTTGCCCTGAATTCCGCATGGAATATGATAGTTCCGAATTTATATGATGGAATTATCAAAGGATCCGATGAAGAGATCGACCAACAGTGGGTTGATATGAATACAATGACATTGTACGTAATATTGGCCTTCGCAATCATGATTTACTTCATGTTTTCAATTTTGACAAGTAAATTCTTGATTGACGACTTCGTACAGATCATTTCTCTTACAGCAGCCTATCTTTTAGATGGTACTGATACTCCTCTTGACGATTCAAAGACACACAAAGCCAAAAAATTTGATTTAATCAGAGAATTGAAGGAAGAAGCCTTTTCAGGCGTTATCGATCCAACATTCCTTATAGACTCAAACAATGTCATCAGATATGCTTCTCCTTCGGTCTACGATACATTTCTCTCCCGACCAACTAATGGCGTCACAAAAATTGACAAATTTCTTTCTCATTCCGGCGTCAACATCGAGGCGACACTTCCTCCTACAGAGCAGTTCATTGTCAATGCAGAAAGGAAGACGCCAGACGGCTCAGTTTTCCTTTTCAAGCTGATTTTCAGGCCGATTTCGGATCTGATTTTGAACGACGTGAAAATCGACTACGCACTGATAATTGTAGACAAAACAATAAAGAAAGGAATTACCAGGAGAATGGTGAGAGAAAATGCGATCTTGGACAGAACGATTTCCTCTTTTGTTCCAACAGGATTCACACACAAAATTGCTCCATTTTTAGGTGTCGCGTACATCACGTTTTCTGACGAAGCTGTTGATGAACACGCTGTAGAAGTCACGACGAAGATCATGGAGTTCGCTGCTGAAGGACCTGACCTGCAGCCAATCTTCCGCAGCTTGCAGTCATTCAGAATTGTTTCTGGAGCGTTGACAGACAAAAACGCAACACAAGCAGTGAATGACTTGATTCTGTTCGCGTTGAAGATTAAGGAATGGGCAACTCCTTTGAATTACAAGTACAAGATAACAATATCTGTGTACGAAAACGCGTTGGTTGAGAGCGACATGACAATTGCACCTCATTTCGATTTCTTGACTCCGAGAATTACTCAGGATATAGAAGTCTCTATTTATGATCAGCCAACAATACTGTTGACAAGACCGGCGTTCGACGCTGTCTATGATTTGGGTTATGAACTAGTTTTGTCCACAAAAACTGTTAGATTTGGACAAAGAATTGAAGTATATTCTATTGTTTAATTATTTTTATTTCTGTATTAAAAAAAAACAAATTATTTAAAATTTATATAAATAAGTTTTGACTAGCCATAAATTATCTGCTATTTCTGAAACTGTTTTAACTAGTAGTGAAAAGAATATAAATGAAATCATAATTTGCTTGATCATCATGCAAAAGTTAAGAGTGTTCGTTCTATTTCTTAAGTTTTGCACACTTGACTAGGTATTGTATAAGGAAATGTTACATCACACAAAAAATCTAATTATTTTTTAATGCTCAATAAATTGTTTCTCAATTGTTTCATTCAATTTTTCAGAAATCTCAAATTGAGAATGAATTCAATTTCTTCAGAAAATAAAAAGAATCAATTATAAACTTATAAAAAATTAAATAAATGTAATCCTCCCTAACTCAGTTGGTTAGAGTGTCAGACTGTTAATCTGGAAGTCGTGTGTTCGATCCACACGGGAGGAGTTTTTTTCTTTTTAGGATTTTTATTTTTTTGAATTAAAGATCGTGAGTGCAAGCTCTGTACCTAGTCCTGAAGCGATATGCAAGCAGTAATCAGGAAAAACTTTTTGATAATATTAAATATTTTGTTTCTTTTTGGATAATCTCAAATACAATGATTGAAATGATCATGTATGAGTGTAGGGGACCGCTCAAACTGAGTGTAGAAGTCATGAAAGTCGTAAATTCACCCAAAGAATGTTCCATTTGAAAACTGTTAGAACCGCAAAAATCCTCTCAATTTTTGATCGCTGCTCGTTCTCATACTTCGGGAATACCAGCCGTTTTAGCGACCAATATACTGATTATTTCATTTTATTTGGTTCAAAGAATCCATATCTAGTTTTTCCATGCCTGATAACCCTTTTGACAGATATACTCTTCATCTTGCCTGATTTCTCGATTCCGTCCTGTAACCATTTTTGATGGAAGAGACCACAGCAATATTCCGTATGTTGTAATCCTTAGCCTTTATGAGATAATCATAAGACGCGAGCTCTTCCATCGTTTAAGAAAAATGAACTTCTCGTCAATCCACTTGATGCGCTCATATAATAATACAAACGCTTACTCATTTTCATAATTTGTTTTTTCTGAGAATATGTTAATTTTTTATTTATCTGTTTCCATTTTTCGTGGTAGAGGGTACTGCAGCATTCTATATGCTGCATATGTCACCAATACAGGATTAATGATTCTTCTGTTCAAAATGTAGTTGATAAAAGAGTGAATCCATTTAGTATTAATCACCAAAAATCTAAGAAGTATCAGATAAGCTTCAATTTGGAAAGCTTGAGATCTACTTCTAAATTGGATGAAAAAAAACTCATTAAATGTGGCAAAAAGTATCTTTTTTTAAATGCTGCATGCAGGTCTGTTATTGATTTTTGCACCATGTGAAATGAGAACTTCAGCAGCTTCTTTACAATTTTCATTTGTTGCAATTTGAAGAGCTGTTTCTCCAGATTTATCTTTCACATTGATATTTGCACCATGCGAAATAAGAACTTCGACTATTTCTTTATTATTTTTCTGTGCTGCATGATGAATGGCGGTTTTTCTATTTTTATCTTTTTCATTGATGTTTGCACCATGTGAAATAAGAAGTTCGACAGTTTCTTTACTATTATATTCTGCTGCAATATGAAGAGCGGTTTTTCCATAATTATCTTTCTCATTGATGTTTGCACTATGTGAAATGAGAAGTTCGGTTATTTCTTTACGATTTTTAATTGTTGCAATATGAAGAGCGGTTTGTCTATAACTATCTTTTTCATTGATGTTTGCACCATGTGAAATGAGAACTTCAGCAGCTTCTTTACAGTTTTCATCTGTTGCAATTTGAAGAACTGTTTCTCCAGATTTATCTTTCGCATTGATATTTGCACCATGCGAAATAAGAACTTCGACAGTTTCTTTACAATTATATTCTGTTGCAAGATGAAGAGCGGTTTCTCCATAATTATCTTTTCCATTGATAAGTTTGTCATCATGATATACAGAATTTCGACAGTTTTAACTTATATATATTAATTCTGCTCGCATATAAGAGCGGTTTTTCCATAACTATTATCTTTCCATTGATGTTTGCACTATGTGAAATGAGAAGTTCGGTTATTTCTTTACGATTTTTAATTGTTGCAATATGAAGAGCGGTTTGTCTATAACTATCTTTTTCATTGATGTTTGCACCATGTGAAATGAGAACTTCAGCAGCTTCTTTACAGTTTTCATCTGTTGCAATTTGAAGAACTGTTTCTCCAGATTTATCTTTCGCATTGATATTTGCACCATGCGAAATAAGAACTTCGACAGTTTCTTTACAATTATATTCTGTTGCAAGATGAAGAGCGGTTTCTCCATAATTATCTTTCTCATTGATGTTTGCACCATGTGAAATAAGAAGTTCGACAGTTTCTTTACTATTATATTCTGCTGCAATATGAAGAGCGGTTTTTCCATAATTATCTTTCTCATTGATGTTTGCACTATGTGAAATGAGAAGTTCGGTTATTTCTTTACGATTTTTAATTGTTGCAATATGAAGAGCGGTTTGTCTATAACTATCTTTTTCATTGATGTTTGCACCATGTGAAATGAGAACTTCAGCAGCTTCTTTACAGTTTTCATCTGTTGCAATTTGAAGAACTGTTTCTCCAGATTTATCTTTCGCATTGATATTTGCACCATGCGAAATAAGAACTTCGACAGTTTCTTTACAATTATATTCTGTTGCAAGATGAAGAGCGGTTTCTCCATAATTATCTTTCTCATTGATGTTTGCACCATGTGAAATAAGAAGTTCGACAGTTTCTTTACTATTATATTCTGCTGCAATATGAAGAGCGGTTTTTCCATAATTATCTTTCTCATTGATGTTTGCACTATGTGAAATGAGAAGTTCGATTATTTCTTTACAATTTTTAATCGCTGCAAAATGAAGAGCAGTTTTCCCAGAATCATCTTTTTCATTGATGTTTGCACCATGCGAAATAAGAACTTCGGCCGTTTCTTTACAATTAAATTCTACTGCATAATGAAGAGGAGTTTTTCCGTATTCAGCTTTCACATCGAGACATGCGCCATGTGAAATAAGAAGTTCGGCTATTTCTTTACAATTATTCCATGTCGCATGGTGAAGAGCTGTTAATTTATTAACATTTGTATCGACATGTCTACAACGTGAAAGGAAATATTCGCAAAAGAATGGAATATTAAACATAGGTGAATAAACAAAACATTTGTCAACATCATTAGTTTATCGAAATATACTAAAAATGATTCAATATTGTTATCTCTAACACAGTAATCTAAATTGATCTCTAAACCATATTCATTCATCAAGAATGTAACAAAATCAATGTTGTGTGAAATAATTGCGTATATCATGCTAATATTATCTGGTTTCCGATATTTCAAGCATTCACTCAAGATCTCTTTACTTCTTCCTAAAAATGAAAATTCGAGACATGCTTTAGTTATTGTTGAATTAAATTCTGTTCTTAAGAACTTGAAACAATCAACTGCTCCATGGTAACAACATAATTCAAGTAATGAATATCCCCAGGATGAAAATGGATATAAACCGCTTATGTGTTTTTGATTTATATCAAACCCTTGTCTTTCAGTGAATGCAATGAATTTTTCTAAGTCATTATTCATAATTATTTTGAAAATTGTATCTTCTGAATGAACTTTGAGATTTTGTAGGTAATTTGTTTCTGATTTTTTTATTTTGCCCAAATTAATTCCATATTCTTCATAAAAGAGGTAGTTAGAAAGATAGCTAATATTGGACACCTCCGTTACATGATAATCATCAGTAATGAGTTTTGCAAGTTTCAAGTATGACTTTGTATACCGATTATTATGCACAATGATATTTAAAATGTCTTTTGTAATATTTTGGGGAGTATGTTTCTTTGAATCAATCAACTCTGTTTTGATCATTTTGTAAATTGAGTTTAAATCTTCTTCTCTGTCAGTTTTTAACTGATACAATGCATTAAATGAATCAATGTGATATTGAATGACACTTCTCAGTTCAATGTATTTGATTGGACAAATGTCTTGATTGGACATTTTAAAAATATATTTACATTTTATCAACTAAATTATCTGTGCAATTCATTATGTGAAAAATATCATGTTCTACATTTAGAAAACAATGACTACAAAGATTTCTGATAAAATTTTGATTTTGATTAAGTTTATAGATTTAAAACGATAAGATGAGCCTTCAGCATAAATCACTTCTTTCAATAAATGAAGAAAAGATATTACTTCGTTAACTTTCGAAACTAGATTTTGTAAATAGTATAGAATCACTTGCGATTAGCTCTCAGAGAAGATTATATTCTAAAATGCTCATTGTCGAGAATATTAATGATGCATATGTTTAAATCATGAATTTATGATGTCAAATTTTCATTATTTCAAGTTTGTGTGTTAGAAAACTAGGAAGTAAATACTTAATAATCCACATGGGAGGAGATTTTTTTTTCGTTTAATTTATTTATTTTTATTGTTGTTATTGTTATTTCGCATTCACGTCAATAAGCATCACGCGAAATTAAAGTAAATATGAGCACATGTCTTCACTTATTGGATTCCAAACAGAATTATTTCCATTTATTGGCAGAAGGCCTCATATCTTCTGATTATCTCAAAGAGGCAAAAGGTGCAGCATAGCTGGGGTGCTGTTATTATCTCTACTGCTAAGGAGAGGGCAGTGTACACAAGATAAATCGTAAAAGGTAATGAGCGTTCATTTCAGTTGCCTGATTAGTGGGCGGTCAGGCCGAAAGCAAAAACGAAATGGAATTCCTTCTAACCAAATAAAGGAAAATGATTCTTACCTTGAGTGATAATGATGACAATATCATTGAATAGTATATTATCCGTTGAAGGAATTATTCAGTCACCGATCAACTATTCTTTGTTTTTCGGCAGTTTTAACAGTTTTTTAAAGTGAAATAAAAAGAACCAACTTGGGACTTCAGTACAGTTA